TCAACGCCGACCTTTAAAACCATTTACCACCCCCGACAAGGATAAAGATAAACCACTACCTTTAGACTCATCGAATGCACCTAATGCTACGAATCCGTCTGCACGTCAGCATTTGCCTGTATCTCGATCGACATCCCATGGCGGTACACCTCGTCATTTAACCCCCAAGATTTCTATCCCTACATTTCGGAAGAAACCACTCCCACCTCGCATGGTTCCTTCTTCAAACACCTCCAATTCCCCGGCCTCCGCCTCGTCCAAGCAACCTCAAGTCATCTCTGCCCTTTCTCAGAAACTGGCGTCCCTCTCTGCGGGAGGTAATAATGCCACGGGAAAAGAAGACAACCCGTTCACTCATTTTTATGCTGCCATCGCTGGACGCGGCAGTGGCACAGGCACCACTACCAACAGTAACTCCAATTCTTACCAAATGGAAATTTACTATCATGTCGTCTCTCCCAAAACTGGTAACGCCGAAAGTTGCAAGTACAGAAGGACACCGAAATCGCTTAAAGTGCGAATGGACGCATGTGTGGAGGAAGTGATTGGGTTTGCGTTGTGGAGTTATTGGGAGGAAGGGTGTGAGCCTAGATTGGACGAAGGTGCGAAGAAATGGGATGAAGAGGAGAGGAAAGTGAAGTCGAGTGCTAGTGCGTGGTGTTTAAGGATTGTGGAGGATGACGGAGATGTGGATGATGATTTTCCTGGTAGGTCGAGTTTCTTCCTGGTCGTGGGGTTTTGGGGAGATGAGATATTTACTACTACTTTTTTTTTTGTGTGTTTGGCGACAAAGTTCTTGTGAGGACAAGTTCGATTTCGAGGTGGTATAGGCATCCACTTGCTGTGGTGGAAGCTACTCCTTCACAAGGCAAGTCCAAAATACTCGAAACCATACGACGAAAAATCACAATAAACTTTTACCTCCAAACAGTAAAAGAAAATCTTGAATCGGACTCCAAGATCGTTCGTCGTCCGTCCAGACTCGTCATCACGACTCGCGCCAAATCGGATTCCACTACCTCGGGACAAGGACCACCATCGCAATCAGCCTTGACCAAATCTCAAGCTGGGTTAACGCCAGATGCGATCACGTCCTCTGCACTTACGGGAGGGAACGCTCCTACGACGATTACACATGAGAAGAGTGGAGCACCAGTGTTTTTAAAGGTGAGAGTGGCTGAGACGGCGGATGCGGCGTATTATTCCACTACGATACATGTGTATGTGTTTTCCGTTCCCTTCTCCTTCACATTCGCTTATTTCTACATACACACACACTCTCTCTTTCACACACACACACGCAGCACAACGGATACCTACCTGGCCGACGTCCTGGATCTCGTGTGTAAAAAGAAAAAAATTACTAATCCAAAAGACTACGCGCTCCTTCTTGAGGATTTGAGTATTTTACTCCCACTTGACAGAACGGTGGCTAGTTTGGAGAGGAGGGATAAGTTGTGTATCATGAAGAGGGCTTTGTTGGAAACGTTAGGTCCTGGATTAGGGAGACAACCTGGACGAGCGACGGATCCTAATGGTGAGTAGTGGTCTTTTTTTTTTCTCTTTTTTTGCTTGGGGAAGGACTGATGAAGTTGGATTGAAGCGTCGATATTTGATAAGAATAAGCATCATGCCGACTTGCTACCTGATGTGGCCGATTTCGCTTCGGTCTATAAGGTGAGAATCCTATTGAGCGCGAGACGGATCATACAACCAGGCCGATCATGAACCCTTTTTTTTTCTTTTCGCAATGCTGGTACTGACGCTCCTTTCGTTTCTGTTTGTGTTCAGAAATATACAATTTATCGTAAGATACCCCGGATGTTCGGGTCTCATGAGAGGGTGCTGGCTATTGATGGAGATTACATCCACGTAAGCCAATCCATCAAGTTGCCTGGACATTCTCCTAACAACTTTGTATTTTTTTTCACTACATTCCAGATAATGCCGTCCGCCACGAGGGCCTTGCTTGATAGTCTGAAGACATCTTCGTACCACATTGGGGCAGTCGTCAAATGCACAATGTCAAAGAAAGGCTCCGCTTCGGTGAAGCTTATCGTCCGGCGTGAGACTGGGGATAAGAGATACGATCTGGAAGCTGAGAATGCACAGCTTGCTGGTAAGCTACGAACCAAAAGTTGTTGGAACGTAACGTTAATATGTGTGATTGACGTTGTTGGGCTACGATGGGATTCTTATTTTCTTTAGCTGAGATCGTGACGACGATTCGAAATTTACAACGGACGTATGGGGTCGAACGGTCAGGATCGCAAAATCGATCGAAGAGTCGTCGGTCGAGGACTTCGGCGGTTATGATGACGTGATTTACTGCTGAAAGTTGTTTTTTTTTTTTTTAAAGTTATCTGGAGTTAGTTTGGGTTTTTTTTTTGGTCAATTGGAAGATGTTTTTTTGCCTGTGCGAGCATTCTAAGTGCTGAATTTACCGTCAGGGGTGTTAAATCCGATTATGTCGGCTTACCCAACCTCCCCGAGGGTGCTCCACTCTTCTCATGTGTAATCGTCATAGGAGTATTATTTCCTTCCGTAAGCACCCGGCATTAACGGAAACTGTTTCATGTGATCCAAATGCGCTAAAAATTAGAGCGTAATCCTTGTTGTGAGCCTTAACTTGAGATTCCGGTGCGCGATGATATCCGGTCCCGTCTTATGACGAACCTTTAGGTGTCTAGTAGCCGTCAGATAAAAAAAACTTGTGGGAATAGTGGCGCTGGAGCGTCTTCAGTACTAGTACCGTGTGGCGCCAGGTCATGCGATCTGGCGTTTTCAATCAGTTGTATTTCACGCATTCAGAGCATCAAGAGGGCAGTAAAGGGGGTGCTGCACGGAAGACCTCAATCCAGGATTAGAACTAAATGGATCCGAGAGAGCGTCAGCGTCATATGGCCTAGCTATCCTCGAGGTGGCCGGACACGTTTCAGAACCCGAGTCATTCATTTGGTAAGCGAAGGAGGGATTTAGGGCTTAGATTCAGCTGAAGGCCACAGGTGAATAACGTAAGTGGTTCAAGTGTTCAATGAACCATGCAATAAAAAGGATTCAGTGCTGCATGCCCTCTTTGAGATTGGATCAGCCTGTAGCCAGAGCATTTTCTCAAGGGCTCCCCAAACGTCACTAGGCAGGTATCCATGGGGGGAGGGGGGGTTCGATCGGGAAACTTAGGGTTCGAACAGAGTGCTTTATTTTCACGTCCGCGGGAGCGACAAATTAAGCCCTCGCCGCATTACAGCGTGATTTCGCCGAAAGTTTCAAGACCTCAACAGTCAGGATAGGGATAGGAAAGGAAAGTTGCCCATGTCCCTGAGCCAGAAAGAACGCAGAGGAAGTTACACACAAATGTGACGACGTTGAGAAGACGAGGAATTGTAGAAGGTACGTTGATAATGTTTGTGGCAAAACCGTCCTCAAAACCCCACCAAAACCTCTTGTCGTTGTGGGCCCTTGCACGGAGTTGGCCGAAGGGCATTCACTAATCCCAACCTGACCCCACGTATCCTGTCCGCTGTTTTGGCTTCCTGCTCAGGAACTACCCCCGCCCATTCTCAAGCAGGTTGTTGGGACGTCAACATGACCGAGTTAATGAATCCAGTCTCCTAATCAAGTCTGCTTCATGTGTTCATGTTCATGTTCTTCGCTCTGGGCATGATGCGTGGCCCTGGTGTTGGCATGGTGGCTTTCATTCTACTACGGGGTGATAGCAGAGATAAGACAATTTTGTTCTACCCGTTGGGTCATTTACTGCGGAGGTCGGGGCAGTTCGAAGGGGCCGGATGATGTAAAATGTCGACTCGTCACGAATATATGGCTGTCAAGACTGCGATAAAATAGGGCTTTTCAAGCTCAACGAAGTGAGATGCATCTACACAATCTTAGGAATTGCACGCGTGCAAATGCACATCTTGGCTTGAGGTCGCTTTCTCAATGACAACTTGACTGTGCCGAACTTAGGCCTGACATGACGGCATAATACGTGTGGACTGGCTCTGAACGCACTGGGTGCCCAGACGGATCTGATTCTAAAGTCTTGAACATCACACGAGAGACTCACTTCGTTTGGCATTGCAATAAGTACCCCTGGTCATCGTTCTCCTTCGGACCGACACCATGAGCTGCCGCTGAATTTTTGATTGACAAGTAAGGTCGCTGTTGTCATAAGGGCGATGACCACAGTTGACTCTTCTTCCTTCGAAAAGCGTAAGATGTTGGCCTCACAACATCTTTGGTTTCATTCCAGGAAAAGACGCGCCACACTGGCACGCTGCTGCCCCACATTCGGCATTGGGTTTAACATTAGCATGAGGGAGATAGAGAAGCAGCCTCACACGTTTCAGATTTTGAAACGTTGTTCCACTGTGGATGGAATTGCTTGCTCATCCTGTAGTGCGAGCCATTTGCATTTGCATTCATCGACACTCACATTCTTCCTTGTTATCAACTAACGCGCTTATTTGAAACATCTGCTCTCTCCTTGGCTCGTGAGTTATGACATGGTCATCTAACCGACAACATCCACCGGAAAATGCTATGTAGGCACTCCAGCCAGCATGATAATAGCTTCCATGGTTTATATCTTGTCCTTCTATCTACAATGTCGCCCCATACCATGATCCAACCTTTTTATTGCGTGGGCTTTCCACCATCCAGTTGGTTTCTTGGGGTGAGCAGTAGATTTCTGGATGAAGAGCGTGTTCGTGTTCCTCATCCGTTCTTCAACCCATCTACATAAGGGGTCACCATCGTCACACCCCTTTCATCCTTTAAGCAGTCCTTGGTGACGCAATAGTGCATTAGCGCTTGTTCTACCGGAAAGAGTCCTCCAGCCCGTATCATGGGTACTATGTTCGTTTTCGGCATTTGCATTGTACAGTAGGTGATATAATTCGGAAACATCACAGCCTGCCTTTAGTGCAACTGCTTCAGCGACCATCAGTATTGCTGGGTCTCCGGTAGACTCTCACCCTAAATTTGCTATATGTTGTTGAAGTTCATGCTCCTGATCTGTAGGAGATATACGGGGCCCGAAGGTCTCAACAATCAGTCTTCCATGCCTTCCACTTATTCGGCGTAGCTATACTGAGAGTGAAAATGGGCGCTCTCTTCATCCTCATAACATCTTTACCTCTGCCTTCCCAGCTGACCCCCCCACAATACCAAGAATCAATACAGTACTAGGGCCCGAGATGCACATCATGGCTACCGGGCCTCACACTGGCGTTCACCCTAGAATCGGTGCGGAGCTGAGTGCCAGTGGCGGCTTTTGCAGCGAATTCTGCCCAGTTCGGTGTTGGTCAGGGGCTGAACCGTCTGGGAGAACAAACTCAGCTCCTGAAGAGACCGATTTTAAGGGGCACGCTGAAGAGATCCTCCTTCCTGATTTCCTGAACCATCGATTATTTGCGGTCTGGTCGTTCCTTTCTTTGCTGCACACATCCACATGCAAAAAAAAAAAATTTGTGCTTGTTCTCATCGAAATAAATACATACCTTCTGTTTTACCCTGCAGGCTCACTTTACATCATCCGTCCCTGCTACTCAGTCGATCCTTCGACTGCTGATGGAGTAAAAAATCAATGGTGCGCAAATGCGCGTAGCTACCGAGCCTCATACTGGGCCCGATCCGTGGATTTGTGCACCAGAGTAGCAGCTATGCATCGATCATGCTCTGCCTCATCAAGAGCAGAAACTTATATGACACCGACCCCCGATTCCTCACGATGGCACCAATTTGCGCCATCTGGTTCCGATTACCACCGAAATCCACACACATACTCATTAACATGTTACTGAACGCAAATTCTTTCGTATGATGCCGGCTTTCCAAAGCGGCGGAATTAGGGCTTTAGGAAGGGGGTGGGGGTGGGGGTTTGTAACATATCCCGATTCTTGGCCGCATTCCTGCAAGTGCCGAATGCGCAGAGTGCAATGTTGAGCTACATTGGTTGATAATTAATCCAAAGTTCTGGATGAACTTATCAGCAACCGTCTGACAATGAGAGCCAACTCATAGAAATGATGGCACTTGATCGTGTGGCATCAAGCCATGCAAGATGTAGCAAACCGGCTTTGAATCAATCATCTTGAGTTCCACATATTTCGAGGGCATCATGTCAGAGCGGGGTGCCGGGAGATCTCAGGCCAGGGATAAAGTTAAGCCAGTCCAAAAGTTCACACATATGAGTAGAGCGTCATATCAGCTAGGATATGGCGCAAATACCCTCAAGGTGGACACGTCTTCGAACACAAGTCATTTATTTGGTCAGCGAAGTCAGGGGCCTAAATTCTGCTGAGAGCCACGGGCTGTAAAACGTGGTGATTCAACCGCCCAACCAACCAATAATACGGATCGTGGCCGGGCCCTAGTTGTGATTGGAAGGTAATTTTTCCAGAAAATCATTAGGGTGCGTTATTCAACGGGCAGGATTGATTGGCGTTCGATCGGGAAATTGAGGAGCCCAAGTTGTTCCGACAAGTGTGTACATTTATCTGTTGTCTGGATTCAGTCCCAGTTGTTCAATAGAACAACAATGAGCAAGATGGGTACAAACGCCCGCCATTCCGATCATTCTCTTTATCGTTGTCTACCATCGATCGCAGGATTTCGAGGCGAATGTGTGCAAAATTCCCATGACTAACTGCAGCAGAATGATCTGAGACGCGTGTTGTAGACTGGGTAACCCAGGCTTAGCGACATAGAAGTCAGAGTTCTGATCTTGACTAGTTGCCCACATCGGTCAAGGTCATAATCGTTCGCCAAGACCCTCCGGGGTGCGTGTAAGATCCCCCTCGAGTCGCCCCCTCCGTCTCCAATGGTAAGTACCTACTTCCGGGCTCATAATTCGCATCCAGTCTTAACAGGCTTATGTGCGTCTTGTCGGAATAGGAATGATCGACGTGTTCGCTACACCGACCCCCGATTCCTCACGATTGCGCCAATTTGCGCAGGCAGGACTCCAGCCTCCACGACCTCGCAATATCAGATAGAGGGTGCGGAACGGGTAGAAGTCAGCATTATGGCTCGATAGAGGGTTGAGCCCATCGCGTCCGATTCGCCATGAGCCTCGCCCGTGTGCGTCAGTTTTTTCATCTTTCCGTCACATAGTCTGGCACCGTAGGCACAAGGCCAGGCATTTCCCGCAGTACCGCCCTAACGCGCAATATCTTCCGAACCAAATAGTGAGAATAGTCATGATCATTCCATTCCAAGAATATTATTGTTTAAGTCATTCGTAAATTACAATGTCTCAAGTCCTTTGGGACCGGAGAATGGATGTAAAATTAGAAATCCGACATGCACAAGCAAGCAGCACCTTCCGGTGAACGTCCAACGAATCGAATCAGGCTTAAATAGTAATAGTTGGGGGAGCGAGTTGGATATTGGTATGTATGTGAATGGGCCGGATTGATGGGCACACACTGGAGGGACTGGCCATTAAGAAAAAACCCACAAAAGTCAACAAAAAGATCCGACGAAAAAATGTCACGATAGGTTATGCTTTTGATATAACGCTCTGCGCAGGTGTGGACGACGATGCATCGTTTTCGCTGGTGGTCCGCCCATTAATCTTGTCTAAGGTCGCAAAAGGGGCAGGGGTGGTCGGTCGTGATTGTAGTGGAGTCCCAGGAACACTCCGATTATGTTGCATGTGCGCCTTGATGAGGTGTCCGGCGGCCAACGCGCTCAAAAGCGAAAGCTCCCCTGCCATGACAGCAGCGACGATGATACGAGCCAATCGACGAGCATTGTGACCGGGAGAAGTGGGATGAGCACCTCGAATGCCAAGCACGTCAAGAACGGCTCCTTGGGGTGCGAGCACCGTCCCTCCACCAACAGTCCCAACTTCGATAGAAGGCATAGAACAGGTCATCAACAGGTCCCTTCCATCATTGACACTAATCAAACAGCCTCAGTTACCGAATTAAGGTCCAGACCAACAACGGTACACTCACGCTTCCATCAATGTAATGCAATTCGAACTCTCGACGTTCTGCGCTGGATCCTGACCAGTAGCAAGGAATATGGCCGTCAAGATATTCGCAGCATGGGCATTAAATCCACCAATAGAGCCAGCCATAGCACTCCCCACCAAGTTCTTTTTGAGGTTTAGGTTGACCAAGTCCGCAACGGTAGTCTTGAGAATGGACTTGACATCCTTCCCAGAGACGATCGCCTCCGCAACCACGCTCTTTCCTCGGCCTTCGATCCAATTGATCGCAGCTGGTTTTTTGTCCGTGCAATAATTCCCAGAAAGAGCAAGTACTTGCATATCAGGAAAATGTTCCGACATGGCTTCAAGTGCCTTCTCAGTACCCTTAGAAATCATGTTCATACCCATAGCATCTCCCGTCGTCGTCGCGAAGCGAACGTACAGCGTCCGCCCAGCAAGCGCACACTTCAACTTTTGTAATCTCGCAAAACGAGACGTCGCATCGAAGACATCGCGTAAAACAGCAGACCCGGCTGGCGAATCAATCCATAGTTTGGCCTGGGCAGCTCGCTTGATAGAAGGGAATTCGATGGCTGGCCCACGTGTCATCCCGTCTTGAGTGAGGACAGTCGTGACACCTCCCCCAGCATTCAAGGCTTTGCATCCACGCGATGTCGATGCCACAAGTGTGCCTTCCGAAGTAGCCATTGGAATGGGACACATTTCATCGTCGATCATGAGTGGACCCGCAATGCCGAGAGGAATGGGAATATAGCCAACAACGTTCTCACAGCATGCTCCGAACACTCGAGAATAGTCGTAATCAGACATGGGAATATCGGAATGTTCCAGAGTCTTGGTGTGCGAAGCTCGGGCTAAAAATCAACGAGATTTTCAGCGGTAACCGAGGCCTTAATAAATGCACCACTCACAAATAAGAGCACGACGAACACGAACGGCACGCTCAAAATCACCCAAGACCTTTTCCAGCGAATACGCTGGTATCTTGCCCTTCTGCCCAAGGAGAATAACCTCTTCATCCGACATCTCCTTCACGTTAGAAGGATTCATCTCGAACAAGGATAACAATTCTTCGTAAGGTCTCCGTTCTACACCAAGATCCGTCTCACGCGTGTCAGAATCATGTTCCTGAACTAATGCTTCGAATCGCTGGGCTGGATTCACGCCGTTCGTGTCGAGCGAAACAATTCGAATAGGTTCCGGGGCGATTGGCTTCGGACCATTAGCAAGCTTCTCTACGGCAGCTCGAAGAGCAGGTTCAGATTCACTCGCAGGCGTAACGGGGCCGGTGGGAGATGACCTCTCTGATGATGATGAACCTGCGACGCCTTCAGGTTGGAATCTGAGAGCAACGCAGTTGGAATCCTTTAACCTAATATTCGATGAGGAAGCATGAGACTTAGGACGAGGGGGCCCGAGCGAAAGTGGAGGTGCATCTCCCAAATCGTCATTATCAAACTCTGACGCACGGGCACTACTCCATCCTCGTTTGCGCTTCAGTGCGAGGCCACCGTCGGGGCAATCAGCGAAAGTAACACCACCGGGTGGGGAAGAGGAGACGAATAAAGATGCAGCAGGCCCTTTGAGCAGGTACCAATTCAAGAACACGGAGACGAATAAAACAATAACGATCCATTTGGAGACGACCGGATCCCCAACGAACATTGACCACTCTGTCATGAATGATTCTAGGATTTCAAGTGATTCCTTCCTCGAAGCATCACCATCTTCGTCAAGGTCGTGTGTGGTGTTGGGGATCACACGAATGAAAACGGGGGATGAGATGCGTACTACAGGTTGGGCGCCATTCTGCGGGTGAGCTGAGGCTATGGCGGAGAGAGCAGAAACGACTGCCGGAGAAGACATATCGATGCGTGTTTGGATCTGTAAGGATATTTCCGAAATGGCGGAAGGAGCGACGATGGGCGAGGTGGATGTGGCTGAGAATGCTGAGTGGCGGTGAAGTGCAGTTGCCGGTGCAAGCGTAGTGCAAAGGTTGAGAATATGTAAAGTTAAGAACGAAACGATCTATGAACACACGAGCTCTAGTTAGAAACAAGGAGTCGTCCAGGGTTCCGAGTCGCATTGACACACCAAGAGTAACTTGAGGCGAGCGACAGGGTTCACAGGCTTATTCCCATCGCTTGACCCATCTACACCCCCTTTCTCGCCAATAACGGAATCTATCATGCGCTTGTGCCACGGCGCAGTGGGTGACACCGGAGAGGTTGTAATTATGGGCGAACTTGCTCTCGAGGACCTCGAGCTCTCAATAGCCTTCTTCGTCGCACGCATGGCTTTAATCCGACGAACCTAAAGGAAAGAAAAAACAGTAGCGGCGCTTAAGTGGGCGCCAATATTCACGCACGATGGAAATCTCACCTCAACGACGACAGCAAGAATGCCCACATACATCGTAAAGAGTGCAAAGCAATCAATGCCCATCGTCAGCGCGGCCAGAGAACAAAACTCCTTCAATCCACCAACGCCACTTCCGACTCCAACCAAAAGGACCAAGATTTCTACTACATAGTCTCTCACGATCGACGGACCAACATGATCCACCGCTTCAAGCACAATCTCGCTAGCTGTCTTGCTTTTCCTTCGAGGCATGCCCCCGGTACGTGGAGCGTTTCCGTTCAGGAGATTTGGAGGTAACAGACCCGGGTGATCCACGACTGCTTTCACTAATCTTAGGGGTTTATCAAATCCGACAGTGATGACCAAGAAAGGCAGCGCCTCTGATATTCCAATGGGGTCGAGAGGGATTTTGATGTAGTTTGCTATGGGGAGGGCGATGATGAAGGCGCAGACAGCAGAGATGAGGACCGTGGAGGCTGACAACGCCAACAATAATTGAATTGATGTTTCCACAAAAAGGCAGTGTGCGGCGATTTCGGGTTGTTCACACATGGAGATAAAACATAAGTGTCATTTGTGACCGGTTTTAGTGATGATTCCATGGAACCATTAGGGGAAAGAATGGTTTGCAGTTCGGATCGCCGATTGGGAAGGGTCACGAGTCCCAGAAAGTCAGCACAAAGTGGATTCGATGTCGAGTGGGGAAATGCGAGCGCATAACATACCTAGCCAGAAGTTAGAGCCCAGCTTTCGGGCATTCAAGAATAAATTAACGAAGGTGGCATGCATAAGAATGTAGCCTAGAAGCACAATCAAGATGTCGGCGGAGTCTGCCTTCTGGTGGACAGTCATATGACGCAAATCAGCCTCGGCTGAATTTAAGGGGAAACGAAAAGCACCGACGGACCTTTGTGAGTTTCCAAAAGCGGAGTATCATTGCACGACCTGCGTAGGCAACCCACTTGCCGCTTGGCATCTCCGCAATCGCCTCCTCCTTACCTATGATGTCAAAACTGACTTGAGAGAGAAGGCTCCTTAACTCATTGTTGGAAGGCAGTTGGAAGGAGGACAGAGCATCGATGAATCTGTTACTCCCCGAGACCGGGAAGGCTAAGGTGAGAATCTGCGTTCGTGGAGTCCGGTGAACGGAGAGGAAACATTGCAATGCCGCCGGAATTCTGTAACATAACGAGGAGTAGGACAATCCACCCTTTGCTCTAAAGTCGTGTATAATGTAGTCTATGAGCCGCTCAATCGGTTCCGAGAGAATATTGGATGCGAGAGTGATGTTGGATGTATGCGGGTTGGTTGAAGGGAAAGATGTAGCATATTGACCCGACCGTAAGTATTTGTACGGCTCATCTAAACTGAAGATGACCTGGACGAGATCCACTTTGGCATTACGTGGAAGGGGGACCTCAGTCCAGGTATCTTCGGAAGCGGGAACCCACTCGTTTCCGATTTTTCGTGTCACAGACGGTCTTAATGTGGACAGTGGGTTATTGTGCCCTCCAGAGAGGAAGTCAGAGTGTTTGATGGAGTGGACAATTTGAAAGTAGGCCAAGGTCACCAGGACGAAACTGACGACGATGGTTTCGATGGGGAAACGCGCTGCCCTGGAAGAAAGCAGTCGCAGGATGGAACGTGTCGGCCCAGAAATCATTTGTAATAACGGAAGGTAATGGTAGCAGCTGGCAGAGGGTGGGGAATCGAGCAGATGTCTTGGGGTTCCGGGATAATAAGTTGAGTTGGGGTGGTGGTACGATAAAGATTTGGCTATTTCGGATAATGATGTTTGCGTAATATGCGCAGCAACGACACGTCAAAGTACGTGGACAAAATAATAATGAATGCTTTGGGTGTGTTGAACACCTCTTCCGGGGACGAGTAGAGACTGGAAGCTAAGCACGAGAGTGTCCTGGGAGTGGTCTGGAATAAATATAATGATAAAATAACTACCGGAAATTGCCGAACCGCGAGTCGGCGATTAACCCGCACGACCCCGCACCTTTCCGCACGTGGCTAGTCAGTGACTGGCGAGCCCAAACGTCCGATGAAGTGTAGCCGACGTCGTGGTTCCGGAATTCCGATGTCCGGTGATGTCATCTGTTGCAAGTTTCGGAGCCCCGTGGCTTCTCGCGTTTGTTCCGGAGTCGACTGACCCTGGTGATCATGATAAGACACATGGGGGGCGCAAGCACCCCTAAGTCACTCTCTTTGAGTGTGAGGGACCCTTCAGAGTATCTACGACGCCACCATGACATTGCACGCTCTTCCACAGCCACATTGCTGGTAATCAGCTTCATTTTGAAGGTTTGTGACAGAAGCTGAAGGGAAAACTGCTCTGCAGGGTTGGCTTTTCCCGGCGCCGCAACATTGATATTCGTTTGGTCCGATGTCTTATGCCAGTTCTGGCATATCACGGCTGAGACCATTCCTGGACCCACTGCCACCACTAGCCTCATGGTTGTGATCCGTGGGACGATCGATTTGATTACCTCCGGGTCAATGTTCCATATCCCCACTGCTGGGCCCCTGCATTGGGGCAAATAAGGCCCCCGAGATTCGCACTCCTCGTGGCACCGGCATTTCAACTTCCGCCCGGGAAGTTTCATCTGCGTGCGCAATGTCCTCAAGACACGGTTATGGTTTCCAATGAACATTGAGTCTGCGCCATTCGCCCACGCTGTTTCAAATTTGCGAATTTGAGACCCATGTGATGCTTCAAAGACGGTAAGCTCAGCACCCCCGTCTTTAAATATCACAAGCCTTTGTTCCACTTTTGACAGTGCCTGCATTCCATCTTGTGTTAATCCTGCTACAACTGGCACTGCTGTCTGTCGGCTTGTATTCGCCGCAGAAAACATCGCTGATTCATTAAGAAACTTCTGCTGCGGCAGCATATCCCGGGCACCTGCCTACCTGTTGCTCAACGATATCCCATCAATGACTTGAATGTAGGTCTCCGTCACCTAGTGCGTTCAAGGACATGAAGGGTGTGCTCCGCTCACAGGCCCCCAACCAGAATGCTCGAATGTGCGCTGTGTAATGTTAGATTATCTTCACAATTTCGGGAAGGTCGGCACTGAAAGACCAACCCATCGACGTCAATTCATCTGGACACGGGTACGGCATAAGCGCCCGCATTAAGATGAATGAGACGGATTTCAATTAGGGCTCTTAATAATTCGGTTTCGGTCAGAAACCGGACCTGACGATTGCCTTGTGCTCCAACTAAAAGTCGTACTGCAAACCGTGGTTTGCAACAGTTTGAATAATACGGCTTGAAGGCGCGATAAAATGCTTGAAATGGAACCGGTAATTTTGTCAGTGACAGATCGGTTTCTGGCTCAAACCGAACCGTTCGAAGCCCTAATTTTAACGTTGTTGCCGCACCGCTCTGGCCCAGGGTGAGGAACACTGCATGCCAACATCACAATTGGCAGCTCCTTAAGTGAGCCCTTCTTTTTGGTTCCGTCAACCTTTCGACCTGAGCCCCTACTGAAACTCGCCCAGGTTTGGCGTCTTTGACCATCGATCCCCGGGCACAATATAGCAACATTTCACATATTATCAATATCGATCGGGCGCATTCGCTGCTCACACAGAACCCCTCAAAGTGGGGAGAGACTCAATTTTGAAAACAAGGCACCGAAGGCTTTCTGACGCTTCCAGTCGCCGGTATCGCCTAGCAGTACATAGTGACGTACATAGGTTCCAGGCAGCTAACCCGACTATGAACATCCTGCCATGATCCTTTCAGGCACGGTACTCCGGTATTTGACCGCACCCCCAGGCCGCGATTCACGATAGTCGGGTGGCACGAGTATAATATTGTTATGTGTGTGGTGTGCGCATAAAACTGGCCGGAAAATGTTAATGACAAAATAACCAAACAATGCTGCGTGATCACTCTGATGCTATCAATCAATGCCGGAAATCCTGCTCCACTGCCCTGCGAGCTTTACTTATCCCCGGAATCCGTTGATGCGCATCAAGATGCAGCCAATATTGATCGAGGCTTTTCCGTCAGGTGAAGGCTGTGTGATTGGAAATGGTTGCCACATTTGGGCTAATTTCAATATAAGCGCCCTGCTGTGAGGATCATCGTCCCTCTTCCATCTCCTTGGGGCATCTCCTTGGCTCGAACCCCCAACAAACCCGTGCAACATACTAATTTACCGTCGCATCTTCATTCACCTACCAAGCGCAGGGACGCTCGTTCACAGATTTAAAACACTCTAATCCCGCTATAAGTAGCGCAGTGGAAATTTGGAATGTTCAGCAGTCTTCTTACTCCTCTCAAAACGGCATTCGAGGAAGTGCGATCTCCACGTGTTTCTACTGTTATTCAGGGCACAGTAGAAGAGAGTCCCGAGGACTTCGCACATGATGTGCGCGTCGAAATCATTCGGCGTACTGTTGAAGATTTAAAAGTAGCGCCCAACATCGCGGCTCAGATCGAGGTCAGCTGGCTGGGACACAATAAATAGTGTATTTTTCAATCTAACAACCCAATACGCTACTTCTAGGAGCTCCACCAAATCGACACTGTTTTGCGTGAAGATGCTTCGATGAAGCAAGTGTTCAGCGAATTAGATGGCTTTCTCGTACTCGTCAGTGTCTTATCCACGTTGCGTGAAATGGACCGTTCTTCTGCCGAGTCACTGAGTACATGGAGAGAATATATGCGTGTGTGCTTCTCTGTCCTGTGCGTTGCACTTTCATCATCTCCGCGCAACCAAACGATTTTCGAGGTAGGTTATTCATTAGAATCTTGCGTTTGGAAAACTTATCGGAGTGCTTCTGCAGAAAACAGTGGGGTGGGAGACTTTAAAACAGGCCCTCCACCCGGCATCTCCTTCAAATGTTGGTCTTGCTTCCCTTTGGGGACTCCTCTTGAGCCTGGCCTTCAACGATATGAAGTTGGAGTCCTTCTTTGTGGATGCTCCTGATATAAGCAATGACCAAACGGCGCCACTGGACTCGCATATTCGTCATTCTCACGAGCGACTGACGAGCTTGAAAAACCCGAATGCCGTCATTGCATTGTTTGAACTACACGTGGAGATCATGTCCCCGAGGCAGGCTTCATATCTAGTTTTTAGGACGATCGAACGAATCGTTTCGATATCACATCGAAATCAGGCAATGCTGAACGCACTCGGCCTCGGAGGATCTGTATTTGACTACGTTTCGAAGAAGGTACAGCTTTTGCCTACAGAAAGTACTAAACTCGTAGTGCAGAAACTACTAAGGAGACTTCTGGAAATGGGGGTTCCTACTCTTGATCAGGCACGAGCCTTGTTCCAGAATGTCCTCAGAAACTCGGCAGTTGACTCTGATGCCCTCACTCTACTGAGAAGCGCGAGTCGGGCAAAGTGGCCATCTTTCTTTTCTTTTAACCATGCTTCTGCCCTAATACTTCCGGATACTCGAGGGAAGGCCTTTCCACCTCTGGCAGGCTTCACTTATATGGTTAGAGTTCATATGCGTGGTAGTCCGATTTTTCTGTTGACATTGCCTTTGACTGCAATCACACCTTAGACTTGGATATATGTCGACCGCTATCCGCTTCCAGATGAGCCCATGATCATCTTTGGGGCGCGTTCCTCCTCACCCTCGCGGTGGATTGTGAAACTAAGTTTGCTGAGTGAAGGCGATCTTGAATGCGCGACCCCCTCCATGCAGGAGCCTCTACTTACGAATGCTGAAATTGTTCGTAAGGGTCGCTGGACACATGTTACTCTGGTTCACTACCCATCCCGCTCCTCTTCGCCTAATATATGTAGGTATGCGTGTGATTATGCTGTCAAAGACACCCTTAACGTGCTTCCCTCAGGCCTATACGTCGACGGTCATGAAATCCAGTCCGAATCCTCGGTTTTTCCTAAACCGTCACCTCCACCCACAACTTATCACATTGGTTGCGATCCGTCCTTATTAGACTTCTTCCCTCAGAGTAAATGGTCAATGGCGACTTCACACTTGATTGGGTGTCCGCTCTCGTCTGATCTTGTCCTTCTCGCGCATCATCTTGGTCCACGATACATTGGGAATTTCCAAGATGCAGCTTTGTACCGTTTCCTCACGTACGAAGCTTCAACGTCCCTGAACATTCACATGTTTGGCAATCAATCTTCTTTCTCCTCGAAATCAGGAATAACTGATGGCGCCAAAGTCATATCCAAAGCTCTTGCTGGAGATGTCGGTTTCAATGAGGACGACATCCTGTTGTCCTTGTCACCTTACGGCGTTAAAAACGATCCTGATGAAGACGAAAATTCAGGTGTTCAGGTTGTGACCAATGCTTCGGGGGTGCAACGATCGAATGGCGTTGTCGCCTCGATGCTGGGCGACGTTTACGTGGCCCAACTAAAATGTTTGGACGACAGCGTACGTCGGATGGGTGGTCCAGCTATCGCATTGAAGATCATCCAATGTTGCACTGTGCGCATCCACATGTGCGAAACAATGCCTAACTACTGACCAAATCACAGACATCGTCAGACCTGGAGAATGGGCTCGGTATCCTCTTTGATGTGATCCGCACCAGCTGGCAGAATTCGGAGGACATGGAACGGCTTCGTGAGTTTGGTTCCTTGCGTGGGGAACCCAGCGCCAAACATCGTGCTTGTCAGGTGGATACGACGTCCTCTCCTCGTTGCTCAGAGCAAAGTCTAGCCTCATCAATCAGGCCTGTTTCGAAGTCATATTTGAATCCCTAGGTATCAATTTTAGCAATCCTCGGTGCGTACTTCCTCCTGTGATAATTCCGGGGATTGGAATCCTCAACGAAAGCAGTGGCGCAACGATTGTGAATACAGTTGCTTATCGAGCCCTTGGATTGGACTTCCATTTGTGGTCACTGGTTAACCCGGATCTTCAAACTGTGTACTGGAGCCATTTCGAGGTTCTCCTTGAACAATCCAACTTCAAGCGCTTTAACAGCAAGCATCGAATAGCGAGGAAATTCAACTCCCCTGGCGTGCTGCGGCAAGCACTCTTCGTCTACCAGACTGATCTGTATCCTCCGGAGCAAATACATCGCATGGTTGACGCTATCGCGGTTTTGGCAAGATCGAATTGGTCAACGGATACTACCATAAAACCCCTCATTTCATATTTAGCCGCGAGACTGCACAGCCCAGGTTTGCTTGGCTTGCTTGCTTGCTTCCTGTTGAGTGCTGATATCACTTTACAGAGACAGGGCTATCGTCCCCACTTTCTCTGCGATCCCACTTGTCACACATAGATAGAGTGCACGCCCACGAGAAAGCGGAGCAGCTGTTGGTTGCTCTTGTATCGATTCTCTCGACAGAAACTTTCCTGGCGAAACTGAATGCGTCGTTACCCCTCTCTCGGATACTGATACTGCTACTAGGACCAAATCCGTCTCCTGTGGTTACATCCCAGGTTTTGCGTATCACCGCCCTTCAATTGCGGACCTTTTCCAACTCTTCCCGCAAGCTCGAACTCTTAAACTTTTGGAGCGTCTTAAAGGTAATTTTACCCGAATCATGGGACCCACTGGTCCATAGTGCAGCGTTCGATCTGCTACTTGGGAGGACCGAATCTGCCTCTAACTCGCAAATCTCAACGGACGCGGTTGTGAAATATCCTCAGATGCTCCCTCCCATTTTTGCCTCACTCGAGCACGGGCTCACCAAGCTGCTGGAGCGTAGCATGCTCAGCGGTGGTCTGGAACTACCCAATGGTAACCCTCGTTCCTTCGCAACCTCGTTCGTCAGGATAATTGACCGACTTCTTTTAGCAACTTCAGCTGCATCTGAAACAGTTACAGAGGCTATAATTGAGGAGTTCGTAAACATGCATACAGCCAGTCGCACGTTCCGGGAAGCGTTTAGCTTCAAACTTGTGATGACGGAACTTGTTTCGCTCCTTCAGACGTTGACGTCCAAAGGGGCTTTCACCCTCCAGGAGCGCAACTCGATTTCAGGGTTACTGGACAGATTAATACATTTCGCGAACCTAGTTTGTGCCGATGATTCACTTGATTTCTCCCACAAACAAGAGGTGAGTTACTGTTTGACTTCAGGGAGGGGTATCTGAACCTCATGGATACCAAGCTGGAGAGCGCCCTCCAAGCCACACATCTGCCTCCAACCTCTCTCTCCCCTGCCCCTGCATCAACACGACGGAGGTCCATTCTTGGTGTTTCGGTCTCCGACCGACGAAGTATCTCCGAAAGGAATGCTCAGAAGACGCTCTATAAAGTGGCTACTTGGCGTGCAGTGGTCATCTCTACTGAGAAACAGCGTCGGAGAAAGATGTATCAGGATATGTGAGTTAGTATGCTAGCAACGTGAGCTGTACTAACTGCTCCATAGGAGAGAAGAACTTCGTGCTTTACAACGACTTACCCAATGGCTTGTTTTGGTTCATCACGAAAGGAGCCTTTGGCCACAGAATACCACGGCCCTTTGGCGTTTGGATGAAGCTGAGGGTCCCTACCGAGTTCGGTGAGAATCACCTTACTCCCTGTTGAAACTCTCGATCAACTGTGATACGCAGAAAGAAGCTCGAGCCCGAGATCGACAAGTTGCTGGAGAATAAAGCCACGGACAGTCTCACTCGCGAGCTTCTGGAAATCGATGACGCAAACTCTGTTGTCGTTGTACAAGCTCCTTGGGATGAATGTAACGTTCGTTGCTTTATTCCCTCGCTTCGTTGCTCACCTGTTCATCCAGCATACAACTTCGACGTCGCTGAAGGTATCGGCTTGTTCGCTCCTTTCGCTGTTGGTTTAACGATCTATTCAGAGGATGACAAATGGGAAGATGAGCTCATTGATGACAAGCATCGCAAAATTAGACATGAACTCGAACCAGGTGACGTAATAGAAGTGGTCAAGAATGTGGCACGTATTGTGGGTGTTGATTCATCCCGTAAGTATGGCTTAATCTGGGCTGTGCACAACATTCATATCCTCAATGTACAAGCTGGGCTCTTTATTCTCGGTCGGACGCATCTATACGTCAGAGACGGATTAGTGGAATCGGCCGACGGCGAGGTTGTGGATGCGCGTGATGCACCGAAAGACGTCCTTCAGGTTCCCGGGACACTTCTTGCCGATCTCGACCCTAACATACGCGCTCGTCGATGGTTAGCTCCAAACTGATTATGTATTATACAAGTCTGATTTCTTCCGAAAGGAGTTTTGAGGCGTTGGCTGGATTTAGCACCAGGACACATCTATTTCGAGATGTTTCGTGAGTGATTTGCTCATAATCTTACACTATCGCTAACGTCCCAGTCAGCCTGGAAATCTACTTTAGAGACTCACGTAGCCTCCTGTGTGTCTTCCCCAACAAACTAGATCGACAAGCCGTGCTCTCCAAACTTCAAAAAGTCATGACCAAGACTGCAGCGGAGAGTAGTGCTGCAACGGCGACGTTCCGATCCCCTTTGCTAAATCTAGTTTCTGCAACTGGTAGGATTTATCAGAACCGACCCGAGATAGACGTGGCTCAGCGGCGGTGGCAAGCGAGAGAAATCAGTAACGTGAGTACACTAGCTCACTCTCCCTCAGCCTTTTCTGACATGGGTTAAAGTTTGCCTATCTCAGTATAATTAACCAGGCATCAGGGAGGACACCCAATGATCTCACTCAGTACCCCGTTTTCGTACGTTTATTTCATCGTCATCGTGGCTTTAATATCTATCTAATCTGTATGCCTTCCAGCCTTGGATTCTCAAGGACTATACTTCAAATACATTGGATCTGTCCAAACCTGAAACTTTCAGAGAGTAAGATTAGAGAAGTCACTATTTTATGCTGCGCCAGTATCTCATATGACCACAAGTCTGAATTGGCCTATGGGGGCTTTAACAGAAGTTCGGCGAGCCTCAGCAGAGGCCCGATATTCTTCCCTGACAGATATTGGAGAGCCGCCCTTTCATTATGGTCCGCATTCTGTTTTGTTCCACTAACACCTCTAAGGGTTTGAGCAGGCACACACTTCTCGTCAAGCATGATTACATCCCACTTTCTCATTCGGTTACCACCTTTCAGCAAGCACTTCAAAGTTCTTCAGGTCTGTATTCACCTTGATTGGATCAACACCAGGGTCTCTCAGCCTCTGGTCCTCGGTTCTAGGGAGGCGATTTTGATTTACCAGAAAGGCTCTTCGTGTGAGTGATGTAAGCGATGTTTATATTATGAGGATATTAAACTCTGTGTTGTAGGGATGTTCAACGGGCTTACGAATCCGCCGCACAAGACAGCCGAGGGGATGTTAGGGAACTAATCCCTGAATTTTTCACTTGTCCGGAGTTCCTTGAAAATTTCTCTGATCTGGAGCTCGGGGTCAACGCTGGAGGAGAGCAAATCCAAGATGTCAAGCTTCCCCCGTGGGCCAAGCGGGATGCCCTGCTGTTCATTGCGCTTCATCGGCAAGTGAGTCGTCATGTCAAGAGTGATACGTTATTTACTGACCGAAAAAGGCCCTGGAAAGCGAATACGTTAGCCGAAATCTGCCCACTTGGATTGACCTTATATGGGGGTGCAGACAGAAAGATGTGGCATCTTGTAATGTGTATCACCCATTAAGCTACGAGGGGGCAATAGGCGAGGCACTTTGAAGCATCAATAATGACATTGAGCTAACAGGGTGCTGTTCAGATTTGGACAGTATAGATGATCCTCTACAGCTTGCCGCCTCTGTCGGTATAATTCATAATTGTAGGCTTGCTGCGCCACCGCACAGTGCACCATCTGACATCTGGGCCCTTCTCTCAAAGTTGGGCAAACACCCAGAAAAATCTTCTCTTCCCCCCATCCTCCTCGCTACATGGACGGCGAACTTTCGCTCCCTCTTGGAACGGCCTACGGCATTGCAGAACATCCACACCTTTTATTTCAATCAAATCAACCCATCAAATGTGCGTGGCCGACCCTGTGGCCGCTGATCGCCTGCTAACACCACCTTCAGCGACACAAAATGGTGTTTCATCCTTATATGTTGATCTTCTCAGTGAGAAAGTCATTCCGTGTGGCCCCGACTCGCTCATAGTACCAAATTTTGCACACGAATCTGTCGAATGGGGCTTCCAGGACCAAAGCTTGCGATTATTTGCGGACAAAAAGGTGGGTTCACTGGTAGCATCACCCAGAATATGCCTGATTGATGATCTAGCTGGTTCAAATTGTGGAGTCAGCGTACCTTAGCTGTGCATGTTTCTGCGACTCCGAGGTCCTCATCGCAGGAACTTCGGATAACATGGTGACAGTGTGGCGGATACACCGTTCCTCGTCATCGTCACCGAAGCTCAAGTTGTCCCATCTGATGCGTGGGCATGAATCAGCTGTACAATGTGTTGATGCATCTCGACCATGGTCCCTGATTGTTACCGGCAGCGATGATGGTACGGCCATATTCTGGGATCTCAACAGAGCTCAGTATGTGAGAACGATAAGGCATGACAGACCGGTGCATTCTTGTGCCATCAACAGCATCACAGTAAGCGATTGATCTTTGTGTCCACTGGAAATAGCAGCAGTTTTTCCTGATTCCACTGTTTCCAGGGTGATGTGGCAACGTGTTCCATTGACCGCCTTTCGATACATACAATAAACGGGCGTCATATCGCTTCCTTGCGACTTGGAGCACACGAGCGAATCACATCGCTTGCATTCCATGAAAGAGAAACATCCCTAGTTGGGATCTTAGCGGCCGGTTCCGCAGATGGCTCTATATCATTGCGAACATGGAACCCGAACGATACTCCGCTGGAAGAGAAGGCAAAGTGGAAGTTCTCTACTGTTCGTAATCTCAAAATGCGAAAAGAGCCCGGGTTAGGGATGTGGCTCCCCACAGTGACAGCACTCAAGTTTGTTGGGTAAGCCGACAAATCCTCCTGTCGTCTGATCCAAAATTTCTTACCTGCTATGTGTGGGTTCATCAGGGAAATACTGTACAGTGGAGATGAATCTGGACGCATGTTTAACTGGACACTCCCTGATTGAAGGTTCATGCTATGTCAATTTGCTTTAGCACTAGAGTGCTCGCTGTGCGTCGGTAGCGCCTACATAACCATTCCTCAGCCAGCGAGTCAACCATTTATCGAGCAATTTAGTAACCTTCATGTAACTACAAAATTTTCTTATCAACTGTGTAAAACTGGAATATCGTCCCATTCAACAAACAATGAACATCATTCTCCAACCGGAGTAGACCTAAACAAAGCGGTCCAATTTCTGAATCATCACGGCATCCTGTCCATTTTTGCATCCTCACATAATTTCCTTTTATGTAGGTGACGATTAGGCAGGGACCCAGCCTCTATATTAGGCCGGAAACCGTAAATATGTCTATCACTTCACAGCAGCCTCAGGTCGTCCTGGTTCTATGCGGTCTCGTGGGTTCAGGAAAGGTAATAATTTTTGTCTCTGCTTCATCGCACTTTTTACTGTTTCCACTGCAGTCAGTGTTCGCCCAGTCTCTAGAACACCAATATCCGAATTTTTTACGGTGTTGTCAAGACGAGTTGGGGTCGCGTAGGAAAGTTGAGCTTGCTGTGAGACAGGCGCTTTCAGAGGGCCGTTCTATTATTGTCGATCGGACGAACGTGGACATCAGGGTGAGTTGCGTTGGTGACGCCTGGGGATGATGGCCTTACAGCTCACTAATGGTCGCAACGTTTAAAGTAACTGCTTCCTGGCCTCAAGGAGTGGCTCTAATTCCCTCGAAGTCAAAGAAGGACGTGGCTGGATATCGCGGATGAATTCCCATCTGTTGAAAAGTGGTGTATAATGATGGACACGCCATACGAGGTATGAATTTGAGATTATTATCCGAACCGGGAAGGTGCACAGTGGGAAGTAACCCTGGCAGATGGTGTAGGGTTGCCCCGGTACCAGTGCCGCTAGGTAGCCCCATTACTATTTGACGGGGCCAACTATCAGATTTCCAATGCCGGGGCCTCCTATCAGATATGCGCAGTCTGACGGGGTGCCCCGGAAGTACTGACGGGGTGCCCTGGAAGTTATTGATAGGTAACCCCGCTTGTTTTAATAGTGAATCATAATATATTCATTTGGCATTGTACTATATAGTAATACATGCATAACTGGTGCTTGTCATTGCGTGTGTCGGAGAAATAGTGCCCCAAGGCTATACTGAGGGTGCGGGATAAACCCCGCGCTTGAACACAGGAGAAAGCCACCCTTGCAGAGATGAGTCTGTGGGGCTGGTGTAGGTCCCAAGAGCAAGTCGGTTTCAAAGATATAATAATCAGTGGGGTAAATGTGGCGGGTAGATCGCAAAGCAAATGATGAGGTGAATGGCGGGGAACACATAGTTTGCTCATCCGTGAAACCCGGCCCACGGGGTTCCAGAACTCCCTGTACCTCACCGAGTAGAAGGAAATGGGAGGGGGAGAAAAGTTAAAAGCATAGTGGTAGGCACACTTTTTGGTCAGGCACCAGCGCGGGCTTTGCAACAGCGCATTGGGCAACGCCATGATAACACATCTGGTTTGCGTCCTTTCATGTCGGTTGGCCCAAAATATCGGCATCAATGAGTGAAGAACGCGTGAGAACGCGTTCAATTGCAAGGGGGTCACCAGCGACTATTGGCATGGAAGCACTGGCATGCGCGCAACAGAGCATGGGCCCACAGTGTCGGACTCAATAATGGGAGAAACCAAGTAGCAGACACAGATGTGGGTCCCACCAAAGGGTGCAATGCAGGCTTGGTCGCCAAGATCGGATGAGCCGATTGCACAAGATCGCTCAACCTGGAGTGGCAATAGAGAGCATTGAAGCACGTATTGTGATGCAGAAAACAGCCAAGAAAAACGTGGCTGCGCATATTATGGATATCCAGCGTCGATTCAATGTGTGTAGGAACACAGAGATAAGAGAGATGACGGGTGAGACGAAGTTCCCAAGCAAATGGCAACTCCCGGACCGACAAGGATGAAGATAGAAACAGGCAGATTGCATGCAATGCTGGCGTACTTTTGCAGAATTCTTATTGCCAATAGTTCTCAGGGCGGAGTTGAGACATACATTGCTCAAGGAACCCAAAACCGATATTAGCGCCCCGCGCTTCGACTCTTCCCAATGGTCTCCTCGCTCAACCATCACATGCCTACGGTAGCCCTGGTACTCCACTTGACTGAGCAGCTGCAGCATTTCGAAGAAAGTGATAAGTATTTTAATGATGGTAAAACCCAGTACAATCTGACGGGGAACTTCCGGCACTGGATAATGCTGAAAAGGGAGGATGTGGAACTCAGCGATGATGAGAATTAGGGATTGGAACGCTCTAAGTTTCTTTTGGTATCAATATGTAAGTCGGAATACAGATGCTAGGTAGCCCCGGTACTACACACGACTGAGCATTTCCAAAAAGCTGATAGGGACTCCCGGCATTTTCGATTAGGTGATGGTGCAACCCAGTACGATCTGATGGGGGGACTTCCCACAGTGGGTGGCCAACGTCCCTTCGGCATGCCCAAGGAATGTACATTCCGTGTACTCAACCGTCTGTACAAAACTTTGCTACACTGGTACTTGCTGAATAATCTTCGATTCATGATCCTGTCCCAGGGTATGACCACCCAACGCTCCGCCCACACGATGCTCTACATGGTGAGCTTTGTCTCGGAGACTACCAGAAACTTCGGTACCGACCTTATTTCACGCTGCTTTTCCAGTTCTGGAACGCTTCGCAGCGTCGTTTCAAACACCCCATCCTTACGAGGGCTTCGACAGAATGTTAGCCCTTTCTCCGCAATCAGGTCTCTCCCAAATTCCGTCCAGAGCCCATGGACCAAGGGATCTATACTATTCTCCTGACGAGATTGACGCTATTCTTGGTCGAATACTTGGACCAGAAGGAGACCCTTCCAATTCCCTTCACATTTAATTTGCAGTCAAGGTGCGTCCGTATCTCTGGCTTGTTTGTCCATTTGAAGAGGATTCACCACAGTTCCTCTATTTATGTATCGCTATGTTATCCTTCGTCTGGGAGTAGGTCGGCGGTACAAAGCTGTGATAATCTTGATGGCCAGCATGTCGTTCATCACCATCACCCGTTTCCGACAATTACCTTGCTTTTTGAACTTTGTCTTACGTATCTGTCAGCTACTGTTATAGTTACTACCTCGCAGCGCCCAGCATTATTTGGAAACAATTGTGATGACCTCCCGTCACCCATTGATGGTGACATCCGAGGCAAGTATCGCCGCTGACCCTATTATCGGCCACGATGGCTCCTCAGCTGCGCTGTCCACCTCCTAAGACTTACCTGGATTAGCTCGGGCCGAAATTTAAATGGAGTACTGTATGTATACGAGTTCACTGTCACGACTCATGTCCCTCGTAAGTGCGACGACCTTCACCTGCTTAAGATTCTTGTGATCGGAATTCGAACACTGAGATGAAGACAGCGATAAATAGAACTGTTCAATAACACTGCCGTACCCTGTAAATGAGTTTGAAGGTCACACTTACGTATCCAGAACAACACACAAACAAAACCCTGATACTCCTGTCATCCTCCATTCAGGTTCCAGTCGTGGAAGCAGAGCAATTATCATATAGAGGTTCGGGTCTTAGGTCATTGCCTGGCTCCGCTGATGAGCTGCTGATATTTCTTGGAACCATTTGGGGGTTTCGCCTCCCAGGATGGAGCTTCCCCGCGTGTACCAAACCCGTGTGTAGTTCTGGATATGAGCCCCAAAGCAGGAACCCATATTCGTTTGTGAAACGTCGCAGCCTCCAGAAGTCTCAGACTGGCATTTTCATTTTTTGGGAGGGGTCGAATAATACAATGACTTACACACTTTCGAGTCTTATCTATCTGCTTTCGATGTTGCGTTGATCGACGGGCACAACCAAGCTATCAGACAGGTAGCAATTAAGCTCGAATCGTCCTCAGTAAAGTACAATTACAGGATCCTCAGTTACAATTTAGTGCTCGGTTTATTCTCCTGTCTCGCTTCCCTAAGAACAGACTCGATCCAATCTCCGACATACTTGGTCACTTCTTCTTTTCGTTCTATCATTAGCCAATGTCCCGCGCCATCAAGATCGATGGTTTTTAATGATTTTGCGAAATTTCTCGAGCGTTTAGCTGCTTGTTTCGGAGATGCAGGGTCCTCGGTACCCCGGATCAGGAGGAAAGCTGTCTCAGTCGGCAGGAATGAGGGGAGCTTTGCCACTGAAAACATTAATAGTCATGAGCGCGTCCGAAATATCTTCATGGTGGACTTTTGGTACCTTTCTCATCGTTGAAGCGGATACGTTTGGTCTTGTAGTACATAAGTGGCCCCGACATAGAATTTTCGAATTGCTTGACATAAAAGTTCATTTCCTGTGATGGCAATTCTTGCAGGGTGAGACAAGTTCCCCGTCAAGTTATTTGGGCTCACCGACGAAGAGAGAACACTTGGCCCATCAGGGAATTTATCTTTTCCTCGAAGAAAGTTCTCAAGCTTTTCAACTTCCACCCACTTCCATGTCAGGGAGTCGGAACGGTAAATCATATCCAGGAACGTGCGGAGCTAGAGTGACATTGAGGAGTCAGGACCAATGGCCTTCGCACGGAGAACGGTCAGCTCACGTTAGATTCGATATCCTTCGTGGACCTAGGATCTTCCAAGTATACTTGGTAGCCTAGTCCGGGGACACGTTTTGCAACTATGGACAATGGAATGTATGAAGGTGCTGGAGGGGAGTATGGGATAGATAAACTAGGACATGGGTGAGCATGAAGTCAAGGTGGCGCACGCAAGGACGACCAAAACTTACGCAACCACCGTCAATACACGTTCGGGATGCCAAAGGTACATCCTCCACGCAATTTCGGCACCCCAATCATGTCCAACAATGGCAGCCTTCTCTACCTGAAAATTAGGTCACGAAACAAACTCATTGCGGAAAGAATTTTGGTAGGTATAATGGAGAGAAGCGTACCTTCAAGAGGTCGAGTAGAGCCGTAAGATCCTTGCATATTGACTTGGTCGAGTATGCGGAAACTTCAGTGGGTTTATCTGTCCCACCATAACCCAACGCGTCGACAGCAATGATTCTCCAACCTGTGAAATTTTCAAAGTAGAAAAATTTGCGCTTTCCAAGGTAGGTGTGCTCACCCCTTTTGGCCCACGGCCCTATCTGGTACCTCCAACCATACCTATTGAACGATATTCTCGCTCTTAGCGGTCAGTAGGATCAATCATCGGCATACCAAGAATCGGGAAATCCTACGAATGCGCGTCAGGTAGGCCAAAATTCCGCTAGAAACACCTCCAGAAATCAAGACTCCTCACCATGTATAAGCAACAATGTTGGTGTATCCTTTATGAAGGACTTGAACGGTTTTTGGTCAACAAAATGATAAGTTCTTCCTGTACTCAAACGTTCCGAGCGATGGTTAAAGCTCGAGGGGTCGGTCGGGTCCATTGTCGGCGTTCAATTTGCCGGTGTGGGAATTCGGGGGTGTACCACCGCAAGTCCCACTTCATTTCAACGTCGAGCGCCGGGATGACCACTTCAACGGCTATGGGTGGGAAGCACATTAAGGTAAATTTAGGGGCAGATGGGGTTGCAATAGTCACTTTCTCGCGGTGTGTTAAGGACCGCCCTGCGTGAGTGTGCGGACAGCCAAACTTACTTAAATCCTCGAAACAGCCCTCCAGTCAATGCTTTCAATACGGTGTAAGTACCAATGTTCACCAGCTTGGTTTATCTCATGATGGTGTGTGCTTGTTTTATACAGAATGTGGCAGGAAATACCCAAAGTATTTGACAACCTCAGTCTCGATCCTGCTGTGAGAGTCGTAGTGCTGGCTTCTACAGAACGAGCTTTCACTGGTGGAATAGACCGTAAGCGTCGGTTCTCCATCGCTAACTCTTTCCTTATATTTTTGGGCACTTACCGGATATTTAGTGAAGGATATTGCGGACTTCTTTCAGGAGGGCGATGACAGCGCCCGAATAGCGTTGCAGTTTCGTCCCTTGATATTTGTCGGTGCTGTTTGGTATTTCCCCACACTATGCTACTTACATTCTTCTCGCCTCTAGCAATTCCAAAATGCCATCAACTCCATAGAAAATTGTCGGGTTCCAGTAATTGCCGCCGTTCATGGATTCGCCTTTGGGCTCGGCGTCGATATATTAAGTGCATGCGATGTTCGGTATGCTACGGAGGATGCGACATTTAGTGTCAAGGTACGTAGGCCCATTCAATAACGTGGTTAACACCATGATTGTGGGCTTAGGAAGTAGATATCGGGATGGCCGCGGATGTTGGTAGCTTAGCCCGGTTCCCCAAGACCGTTGGGAATGACAGTTCAGCCCGTGAAATAGCCGTCACGGCTAGAATTTTCAGTGCTAAGGAAGCCGAGGCAATTGGATTCGTTTCGAAGCTTGTGCCTGGTGGGAAACGAGAGGTTCTTGGTGCGATAGCATCTTCTGCATGAATGCAAGTGATCCTTACACAGGGCCCGGGACTCTCCCGTCTCCCGTGGTTTACATCACAGATGCTGCTTTGGTGACAGCAAAGGAGATTGCGACCAAGTCACCGATCGCAGTTGCAGGAACGAAGCATGTCCTGCTGCATTCTCGTGATCACACGTACGTCAAGCGGTTCTACTCTCTGGCAGCTCCAATGAATTTCCTCACGCAGTGCCCTTGAGAATTTGGATTACGTTGCAACTTGGAATGCGGTGATGTTCCAGACTGCCGTACGTCATTTATCTCCCATCAATCCTAGGACCAGCCCAGATAACAGTTAAAACAGGATACAACCGAAGCCATCAATTCATTCCTTCAGAAGCGAAGACCACGGTTTGGCCCTTTGGCTAGCAAATTATAATCGAGATCTCAACGCGCAAAGCCATAGAATCTTCATTTTTGTAATGCGATTGATTGAGTAGGTCAGATTCAAGACACTGCACCTTGCCTGTAAGGACGCGCAATATCATGAATATGTACCACGTTATCCTTATCGTGGTTCAGATCATTTCGCTGGCCCCCTTCTCGGTTCGTTCAAAATGAGAGAATAATTACCAGCTTTGCATCGTTGACATTGTTGCTTCACTACCCCAAGTGTCCTTGTTTGCTGCTTGGTGCCCGGACTGATAACCGATCGCTTACAACTCAGATCCGTCTATAGTACTATTGCAAATTGAACCATGATGACTCGCACGCGTGCGCACTCGCCTCACCGAACCCCTTACACCCAGGGGAAGCACGACAGCCCAACAATTCACACTCGCGTCGGGAACATGGGGTGCTAATAAGACGTCAGTTCGCTCCCAATCGACGGGGACTCACCCATTTGGCCTGCAAGGCAGCCGTGTTTATATTTTTCCATAGGGTGACGCGAGATGAAGAAGCAGGTTAGCTGCGATAGATGCCACAAGCAGGGATAGCGTAACAAAAAGGAGGTGCAGGGATCACCTGCTTTCTATTCAATGCCAACTTCACGACGAGGCGGGAGAGTCACCCAAATCTGGGCGGCAACGGGATGCGTTGAATTTCTTATCAGCAAATTGAGATAGTTCAGCAGTTCTTAGTTGGCATTTCAACATGTCTACAAGCGATAATCGGTTGAAAACTATTGTGGGGCACTGGGGTGGTTTTCAACATTCTCGCCACTGGGTCAGATTGTGAACATTCTTGGGATACCTTGAGATTAAGATGACAGAATACAGCAGTGAGAAGTTTGCTGAGCCTGCAGGCAAAAAACGAGTGACCTCTTTCCTTTTCCGGAAGGGGTCATTTTGAATTGAAATGTGGTGTTCCGCGTTGGTCGCATATATGGTGCTGAAAACCCCCTCAAATACGGCCCCAACCCTCCAGCAGAATCAATCATGACTCCGACTCCGACCCTCCGCTTTATACCATGTTGTCCTCTCATACCGAGGATGCCTCACAGTGGCAGTGGCCGCAACATGAGTTTGATTCTCATTCGTGACTGCCAACAGGGTGTTGGGACAGTGCGGAGGATCGAAGGCCATGGATGCGCCGTTGCCCTGAGGCAGTTTTTCGATGCGTCTGCTTAGTGGCACTAGTGTGGATAAATTGCGAGCGAAGTGCATCAATTCAGTGCTCTTACTGCATTCGTCTACTACGGGTTATCTATCGTTTGAACTGGTATTTGTTTGACAGGCCCGCTCTAGTTTCGAGCCTCCTGAATCTTGGGAGATTTGTGACCTAGCTCCTTCAACTCTTTGCAAACTTCGGGGGATGGGAATTCTATTGGAGCATGGTACAAATCCCATCAGAAACTAACTGATTAAATTGAATTTGAGGTCACAGGTCCCATCTCGCCCTTTATATAAAATCGAGAGCCAAATCCCCGAGAAAAGAACGGAAGAAAACTATATGCGAGGGATTGCGGTGACTGGGAAACACAGGTCTCTTCAACGCCACTGGCCTGTGCTGTGCACATCCAACAGTCGGCCTAATCACATTCTTTTCAAAATGGACTCTCCCCTACGGAATATGGTCGCAATACACGCAGGTTATGCTGGTTGTGCCCTTTAAGTGATTCGATTCGTTAGGATTTGAGTCAAGCTCGCTAGATCTGATAGGCAATGCATTCGCGATTGGAGTGCAAAGGCCAAAAAAATCATTATGCGGGCTCTCTGAATGAATGACTTGATTCACGAGGATTTGGATCAACGCAAAAAGCTTGCTCATCCACCAAAACCACTAGGTAATGCACCCATGATCAGGATACCAGGCTCAAACTATTATGCGGATGGTTTCTCCATCCAAACTGTGTCACGACTTCACACAGTTGGCTTCCCAGAAGCATGTGGCTAGATCTCATTTGGAGGTTCTGCCCCTTTGCTCTGGAACCAATAACCATTTAACTAGGTACGGTGTTGCCGCGCGCCGTCGCAGGTTCTATTTAATTTCTGGTTAGACGCATCTGCTTCGTATTTCAACACTCTCTGCCTCTTCCCCCCCCATCACTCCCTAAATTTTGTCCGCCCCAGTGCGCCCCAGTGCAAGACCACGATTCGAGCCGATAAGATCAAAGCCACAAGGAATATGGGTGGTTGTTTTCTCTGCAGAATCCGTCACAAAGTATTTTTTATCCTATTTTTATTGCTAATAATTCCGTGTCTGTCGCTTATGTCTTGCCTCCTCTTCAGCCATGCAATCAACCCCCGTTGGACGAGGATTGCTGCACCTGCAAACGGCTCCGACTTTTTTGTCCGAGGGGCTACAGGGAGGACATGCTACCCTGGCTCGCCGTAAGTTTAGTTGATAAAATAGGTGCCCTCCAGCCGTTCTCAAAACTGCCTCTTCAGGGCGATCACGCCGAAAGGACGGTAATGCGTTTTATTAAAGATTGGACTAAACGGAGAATGTATCGGCGCAACACCGGGCAGCCGCCGCCTGACCTGCAATGGTTGTTTTTGAAAATGGAACATGCCTTCTTGCAAAGAGGCCAACCAGCACAACGGGGAGATCGAGTAGTTTCTCGTTCTGGTAGCGACCGCATTTGCTGGCCAGAGTCGGGCCTCCACCCCTTTGCGGACATTTGCAGAAGTAGCAACAGTAATTACACGGCTCAAAGAGAAAATGAATACTCGAGCATGCAATCTGATTCAAGCGTTCCCGACGTTTCGAGGGTAACTTATACTTCACCAAAGCCCCTTGATTCGGACGTCCCTGTTTTTTTAGGCAAATTCCACCGCTCCAGGCAGCGTCTGACGGAGGATTACATACGAGTACAGGATGATGGAACGGCATTCCCTCCTTACGACGTCAGGCCGTTCGATCCACATCCCATCACATACGACGACTCTCGATTCTCATTTGAGTCAAACGTAGCATCCCTTCCTCATCCTGTAATCCCTGGCACCTCTGTCCAAAAGCCCCATCACGTTCGAGACCATGCGCCTGCGTTGGTATGGCCATTAGGTGCCGTGCTCATCCCAGGGCCTATCGCTCTTAATCCAGAGCTCATGATAGAGTTGAACCAGCCATCCCTCCCAGTCATCCCGACCCGCTTCCCCGCCCGTCACCACTTCCCTGCGTCAGGTCACGTCAATACTTACTTTGATTGCTCTCGGGGTCGGCCAGGACTTTCCAGAGAAAATCGACTTAACCCTGAACCCTCGAACAAAGCCGCCGCTGATGACATCCCTGGCCACTATCTATAAGCAGGGCTCCTTTTAAATCGCGGGCAGCAAGGGCATGAAGCTACGGGGGACTCTGCTGTTGGCGATCCCTCTCGCTTGGCGCCTTGGTTCTGTAGTTCCACCATTGCCATCCCCCTACCCTTTACTTGCGCATAAGTTTTGTACAGGACAAACCTATCTATCAGATCCCCATTTCTACTCCGTATCCCAAAAGCTACTCGCCAAAGGAACCCAGGATTCCGGGCGCTGGCACATCCGACTCGGTCGCGGCTCTTGTGGCACACCCGCGATGCACGCCCACCCAGGCGCCACGCCAATATTTTGATCAAGACGTTCTTCTCTGTACCATTTTGTTTGATCGTACATACTCCTTTGGTCCTTTGGACGGACATGAGTTCCAAAACTTGATTGCACGTTGCTCCGGACTTTTGTTCAGTTTAGCTGTCAGGGTAGTATTTATGTCATTTGTTCCAGGAAACGTCCTTTTGTCCTACGTCTGTAAAATTCCTTCCCTTGGACACTGTGTCACCCTTGTCTCGACCCAATTATCGTTTGCACGTAATGAATAGTCGTCGTCATGTAGCCCATAGGTATCCCATTTCATGCGCAGGAAGGCTCGGTGATTGGGCGCCGTGGTTGCGGAATATTACGGAAAATTTGGAATCTGTAAAAACGAAACATGGGAAGGAGACCGGGGTGCGATAGTAGAGCTCTGCCAGGTGAGGCCCAAAAAGGTACCTGACCGTACCTGCCAATAGGCGGGTGGCGTCCTGTCTGAATGATCCATAGTTCAAGCCCTCTACATGGTCCGAAGCACACAGCGATTGGTGATCCAGCAGCTGTGTCCTTGCCTCGCTCCATTCAGTCCATTTTCGCTCTGAGTAGGTCCTACCGCTTATAGGAAAGAGGCGGCGTTGAAATCGCTCAGCAAACATGCTCACCGAATGCATTTGTGACCTTCTGACAGAGTAAATCCACTATGTGAATAAGAGAAGGGAGCGAGGGACAGAGGGAGGAATGAGAGGATCCAGGCTGCGCTGGCTTGTGGGGGTCCACTGGATCAGTACTGTCTATGGCTAGTCGCGTAAATGGCCGGTGTAATATTACGAGCATCAGGGGGATCTCTTATCTAGGAAACATAAGTGCTGGGACACCCATTTGTAGGCAGTTATTCGGAACAGATGACCTTCTGTTATGGACCCTGATAGTAACGTATTCTATACTATACTATCCCATAGCAAATTGTGACTGACTTCCCACTGAGATGGGAAACGCCACCATGCTGAGTGGGATCCAAGCCCCAGAGTCTAAATGGAGGAAGAGTCTTATGGAACACTGATAGGACAGTCGCTACAAAGAGTCTTCCTAGATAGTTCAGTGCAATACTGATACTTACGTGTCAGCTGCTGTTATCCAGCTTGACAATGTTCGATATCACCTACCTGTGAGAATGCGTTATTGGATGAAGAAATGGAGGGGAAACCTCCTAAGTCCCATTGAATACTTATTCTTCTCCCCCCACCCCTTAGGATATCGGGGGAGGCGCAATGCTAGCTATTTAATACATTGCCGAGACGAGCGACAATCTAAAAAGGGAGTGTGGGAAGATCGCATATTTAATTGAACAACCAATGATAACTCTTGAAGTTGTCATGGTTCATGCCCAGCAGTGTCCGTTTCTATATATAGTTGCGTAACTGCTCATGGCAGATTCCACAACTCGTCTGAAGGCGGCTATTGATCTCCTTGCAGACTTCCCCTCCATCGGTTTATTATTCGATCTCTCTACAGGAAACCATTCCAAAAGGTGCCATCCAGACTGAAATATGGGAGAACCAATGCTTTCGTCGTTTTCGTCTGAGATACGAACTACGAGGTTCACTTCAAACTTGAACGCCGCACGTCTGGCATCGCACCATTGGTAAAGAAAGGAACAAACATAAGCAGCCATTGTGGGTCAGCCTTCTCCTTTTTCCCAATCGGCGAAATCTCACAGACGTTGTGCCCCTACCCTTCAGCGAAATATTCCCCGGCTGTTTCGCACGACGTCCCAGATACATCGACGGCTTACCGTCGGTGAACTCAGCCCCCTTCCGCCAGCAGTCTTCAGGAATGTCGCTCCATAGATGGTCATCGTCTCAATCCCCTCCGCTCGTGATTCCAACGTTGATCTATATAAGATTCTTCTCAGCCGTGTGCATCATTGCTTGCTGATGTCGTTCCTCTGAGGAATCGGGCCCAAAGTCTTCAAACAACATTTTGATGACGTACCTCTCAGCATCGCTTAACGACGTCGGCAATATCTTGCTAAATTAATTCATTCAAAGATCTCGATCGATCATCGTACTGAGTCAAAGTATCTCATCGTGATTGCCAACCAGCTTAGCGGGTGGAATCCTATGTATACAGTCTAGTGCCGAGCGGAATGCTGCTGTTTAGCCATTATAAGGGGGTTAAAGTCGAGCACCATGATATTCCAGGGTGATCTGCTGCAGTGTAAATTCTTCGCTGGCGGGTAGGCCGCAAATCTCTGACCCACGTTCAAAAATGCGGGCTTCGCAGAATTTCGTTTGGATTAGCAGTTGAGCTATGACCGAAGGTCAACGACTAAGTACAGCAGTCACCCAAGATGACACGGACTGATTAGACGGTAACAAGAAGTGAGCGGCAGAAAAGTAGACAGTTTATTGTTTGGGCTCGTAGCTCTCCAAAGGACACTGCGAGTGTCACTTCAGGTTCTAGTCCAAAGACTTGTCTCGAAAGAATCTACTTTCCGATGCGCGATGCGACCCCAAGCTTTGGCGTTTGTTCATGAGGTCGTACACAAAGTTTTAAACCCCTTGGGAAATGGGTCGCTTCGATCTAAAAGGTCAGCAGGTACGTCTTGATCGAGTCATGTCACTAGGTCATTGTTTCCTTCGTTTCTTGTGTTCCTTTCTTTTTCGGGTTCGCAGAACTCACATTCCGCGTTGTGTTCAGAATCACCCATGTACGCTTGATTTCTAGCTGAAGCACCAATATGCAAGAACAAACGCTGCCAGTAATGAGGGGTGACCGCTCCACATAACTACCATGCTTTGTTTCTTAAATGCCGTATACTTTTACCGTATTGGGATCTTCGCTTGTTGTACTTTATCTCAGTTTTCGCTGTAAATGAACCAGGTGATGTCGCTCCACATTAAGAGCATAGATGGGGCGCAGTGCTCCAGCCCCCCAGGGTATAGAGGATATAGAACTAGATTGAAATAGATAATGTACAATATCCGCTATCGGTTGGTACGCCCAATAGCCTTTGCGGTTTTTGCACCTTCAAGTTTGGGCAGTTTGAGCTCGCCCGTCCGTGAAGGTGGTTCCAAGAATCCGGCTTCGATCAGCCACGAGAGGTATTTGCCCATTAAAGCGTTATCAACTCCTTTTGGATCGCTGAGGTACCCAGCCGCTTTCCACAGCGCCAATGTATTTGTATCGTTGAGGTCTGGTCCTTTCGTGCTAGTGGGGAGGTCATCCAGGACAAAGTGAAGAAGTGGGAATAAAGCATTGTCTTGGGCTTCTAACACGTGCTGCTCCAATCTGCGACGCCATATGATGTATTCGCTCTGCTCAACCTTGTACCCGTATAGGGTGAGTGAGCCCAGAACAGCGTTGAATCGGAGAGGAGGGCGAGCAGTAATATGAAAGACGTCGGCTCTATGATTGGCAGGAAGAACGAGCGCGGAGAGCGCAGTAGTTCGTGCGACATTGTCGACTGGTACCATGTTCACGGTGTTATTAATGTCTGGAGTGAGGCCGAGCTGGATACAACCCTTCACAAGCCGCCAGATGAAATCGTCGGTATTGGTAACTATACGAAATGATGATCAGTGCTAACTGAGTACATATCATACATTAAACTTGCCTGCTGTTTCCGAGTCTCCGACAACATATCCTGGTCGAACAATGTTTACGGAGAGTCCACGCCTTGCAGCTTCCATGAGAAGTCGCTCTGCTACCCATTTGGATTGGCCGTAGCCCACTTTAAGGCCCGTTCGAGCGCCCTCAAGGTCATCGTCTTCAGGGACACCAGGCGTTGCTGTATTTGCAAGCTCATCTGACAAACGAACAAAGTGTTGAACATCGATTGCCGATGTCGACGAGACAAACGAGACAAGTTTTTCTTTTCCAGTCGAAGCGAGTTCAATAATTGCCAGGGTGGAGAGGACATTCGCAGGACGTAGTTTGTGGTATGGGTAGATCCAGTGAACCTAGGTCGTAACTGTCAACGCGCCGCCGAGTTCGGACTTCTGAGTACCCACCAAAGCACCATTATGTAGGAGGACATCAGTGGTATCGGCCACATTCTTCCAATCCCCCTCGTCAAGTCCCAATCGTTCTGAATCAAGATCCCCAGTAACGACTTGAAGCTTCCCGCTTGTGACCCATTTCTCGTCCCATACCCCACGATCGCTGCTGCTCTGTCGAATCCTACGCAGCGCATGCTCGCGTGTATTTGCGCGTACCAAACAAATCACCTTCGCCACCTTTTCTCGCTCCATCAAGTCACGGAGGACGAACGCGCCAAGGAAACCAGTAGCTCCCGTGAGGAAGATCGAGACTGTACTTGGGAGGGTGGACAAAGATTGATATGATTGAGCAAGTCTATGAAGCAATAGGTCCAGATCAGCGCCATAGTTCGCCAAGGCAGTCCTCTCGTTGTCAGGTCGTCTGAAGGGCGTCGCGGCCCCAGATGAAGACCCATTGGGTTGTGCAAAACTGAAATCCGATTGGCGCAGCGAATCGATCTCGCAGGCTTGTCCCCTAATTGTAGGCTTCTCAAAAACCAAGCCCAGCGGCGCATCCACAACAAACGTTTTCCGAAGCTCGAAAATAAGTCGTGTTGCAAGTATCGAATGACCGCCGAGGTCGGAGAAACTTTCGTCCAGCGGAATGGAAGTGGGTGGAGATTTCAACAACTTGGACCATATTTCGTGAACGGTGTTCTCTGTCGGGGTCAGCTTGCGCGCGCTGCCAGCTGGAGATGTCTGAGCAGCAACCGCCTCAATGGTATCGGGGAACGGAAGAGCAGGTTTGTCGATTTTACCATTTGGATTTAATGGCATTCGACGAAGGGGGACGAATACTGAGGAATCCCTAGGGTAATAAGAATCAATCAATCGGAAAAGAGAGGACACTTGCCAGAAGGAATGCTGTAGACTGGGAGCTTCTTCTTGAGATGTTCACGGATGTCCTTGATGAGCTTCCTATATGGTCGGAAGGGCTGGATAAGACCACTTTGGACACCGTCAGCGTCTTCTGCTTCGCTCATCAATTCTCTCAACCCCTTGATATTCAAAGGCACAAAATAGCTGACAAGAACTTTCTCCTCGTCTTTGTCACGTCGAACCAGCGTCACGTTCTCGCGAACGAACGGGTGTTGGCTAAGATGGGTATCGATCTCCCCAAGTTCGATTCGGAAGCCACGAATCTTGACTTGATCGTCCGCCCGTCCGGTACACTCAACAAGACCATTTGGGTAGTATCTGCCAAGGTCTCCCGTTCTATACATTCGGTCGCGTATGCCCTTCCAATGTCTTGCTTCGGGTCCGGGTGGAGTCCCCTCCGTAGGACTTCTAATTGTATCCCTCCAACGAGAGGTGTCGCTCTGCGTGAACCAGTTCGTCACAAACTTTTGGGAGGTAGATTCTGCATCCAAATACCCTTCAGCTAGCCCGCCCGAGCGGACGTAAATCTCGCCGACCTCCCCTACCGCACAAGGCACATTACGGTCGTTACGATTAACAACGAGGAGTTGGACGTCAATCATGCCTTGCCCAGCAGGCATAATGTCCTTTTGAGTTGTCAGAAAAGTGCCATCTTCGGAGACGCTGGGTATTTCGAAATACGACACGGCTCGCTGGGTCTCGGTCGTTCCATACATATTAATAATGCGCACGTTACTCGCGAGACTCTGGAGACGATGACAATCTCGCTTGGTCAGAACATCACCAACAAAGAATGCGTGTCGAAGCGCTGGAATTTTGCGTGTCGCTTGTGCAGACAACAGTTGACCCATAGCTGGAGTTAGATGAGTCACTGTCACTCCGCTGTCGGCCATCCATTCCGCAAGACGGCCAGGGAAACCAATATCATCAGTTGTTGGTACATGCAACTCAGCACCAAAGAACAAAGGCGTGAACACTATCCGGGTGGATATAAGGAATGTGCGGCTGTGGTAAATGAATAAACATACTATCTCGCTGAATCGGATCGTGGGCTATGCCACTTAGCATTGTGAACTTGGAGTCCGGGCCTAGACTGAATCTCTCCCCCATCCACGGGAAGAAATGAGTCAGACTGTAGTGACGTCCTTTGACACCTTTGGGTATTCCTGTACTTCCGCTGGTGAAGGATAGCGTCCCAACGCTGTCAGGCCCAAGAATGACGGAGGGATCGACATCTGCCAGGTTTCGAGTTGACTGCAGCACATCGGCTAGTCCCTCGGATAATGAACCTCCCAGAATCTCCAAGTTCGGCGAAAATTCCAAGGCTGGAACTTCAACTTTAATCTCCAACTCCTCCGTCACAAATCGCCGAACTGAAGGATTGATTATCCCGGCACCTTTGAGGACAATAAGACCACGAGGCTTCGCTACGCGGAGGTAGATGGTTTGGCGTGATGGTGGATACGCAGGATCTAGGAGAGATTCAGTTCAAAATCCTTGATCCACCTCGTATCATCCATACCTATGACCGAGAAGGTGGCTCCGGCCTTCAATATGGCTATGACGGCAACCATCATCTCCGCGCTTCTGTAGGCATAAACCATAACCACATCTTCTCGCGTCACGCCTTCTTTTATTAAGTGGTGTGCCAGAATGTTTGACGCATGCAAAATATGTTGATATGTGTACACGGTACGCTGAAGTGGCGTATGGGCCAAGGCTGTTGTGATGTACTGGATGACACAGGTCTTGTCTGGATGCCTTCGGGCATTTCTAGAAAAGACATCGGTAATGGCACCTTTCCAACCACACCAGTTGAGGTCACCCGCAGGGTCGGGGAGTAATGTTTTTTGCACAGGCGTGAGTAAAGGGATGGATCCTACGGGGTTGAGAGGATCCTTCGCCACTGTACGAAGGAGCACAGACAATTGATCGAAGAGGAATGATATTCGGTCAGGAGTGAAAAGCAAAGAGTTGTACGCCGCTCGCAGTGAAATTGATGGTATTATGGATGAGTGCGAATTGGAAGGGGGACGGGTAATGATGATAGTAAGATCGGAAGTCACTTCGGTGGAGTGAATGAAGGTCGACTGGTGCTCATCAGTATCATCGAAGAAGCGCACACGAAAGAGAGGCGCGGTGCCCTCCTTATCTGCAGAGAGTGCCTCAACAATACTCTCATAAGGCACTGAGTCGGCTTCTGCTTCCCTTTCGACGGCCTGAATTTTTCGGACGACCGCCCAGAAGGGATCGGTTGGCTCAATTGACCCACGAAGTAAGAGTGGATTGGGGGACTGGGCCGAAGAGGAGCCGATCAACAGATCGCTGTCTCCGGTATAGCGATGTAAAAGCACGAAAAATGCAGAAAGCAGTAGATGGAATGGCGTCGGCCGAATAAAGACGTCACCCGATTGTTCTTCGTGTTCATCCTCGTACAGCGCTAATTTGAGCAGGCCTATGGCACTTGCTTCATCCAGCTCCTTGGTTTGTACAGCTTCTATGAGTTTATGCGAAAGTGGACGGGGATAATCAGTGGGTAGCGCGATGGACGGGAGGTTCTGCAGTCGCGCAATGACCCGTGATAGCCGCGCCGAAATATCATCAGTCATTAGCGTTATAGTAGTTCCTGGGCAGTTTCTGTGGCCAAATATTTCGAGAGTGGCCGAAAAATGTGTTTACACAAGAAACCAAGCTGCGTCATTCTAAAGCACTGCCACCAATTCACCCTTTGGATCTATGACCATCGTGCTCTTGCCCACGCTGAAGCAGCCTCTATAGATAGATGCCCACTCCTTGCACACTTACAACGTTTGGGGAGTCTTTTCAGCTACTCCGTGTCTTTTTGTGGCCTCTGTATCCTCCACAACTGGTAGGGAGCTCTTGGTATTTTCTGTTTCGATGACCCACTGCATGGATACATCAATATCAATGATCCATGCGCCTGCGCCCAATGAGAAATCGATGTCGGATTTCTTGAGCCTGAATATCACAGTCTTCGCTTCCTGAAGAGACCCATCTTGGGTCCATTGGGGCATGTGGAATGTCGGAATGAACCAAAACCAACCCATCGGAACCTCATGTTGTCATGCATGAGTGGCCAGTTGGAAGGGGAAAGATGTTGATTTACCTGTCCCATATAAAGTTTGACCCGCAGTTCCCGACTTGCGTCAACTATGAACCCCTCGTCACTGACAGGTTTTTGGGAAAGACTTGCCCCTGTGGCATCTGAAATTGTCGATGTGGAATCATCAGTAGCATTGTCATAAGGACCTTCGTCTCGATTGTCGCTTTTCTCCCTCGAGTTCCTTTCAAGTTTCTTGGCCACTTCCACCCATTTGGACCAGGAAATGGGACGCAATGCATAAGCAAACGTTCGTACATCCTGTCAAAACCGGTCATTTAGGCGATAATTATGGGCCTTTGATGTACCTTCTCTCTCTCCTCGATGACGTCGCTTTTGGAAAGCAATCCAAACCGCCCGAAGCGACAGACCATCTTATCGTTATCCCACTTCGCATCGTCAAAAATTGAGCTAACACTTCGTTCCGCTTTGCTATCATCTGGGAGTGACTCCGTGCCTGGTTTCCGCCTGCCTATGTTGGCATCGCTTCTGGTGTACCTTTCCCATTTTTCTAACGTCTCGACGAAATGGTCATCGTAGCGAGTAACAGATACCCAAACATCGCCTCCACCCTTCTCAATCCCGCGCAGCTGCATAAATGGGTATTGGCAAGATTATATTCATCATAATTTCTTACAGCTCACTTTCTCATTCATGGTCTTTTCCAGCACCTTGCTGATAACCTTCACAGCAGTTGTTTTCATGCCTCCTAGATCCTCCATCCGAACGCGGATGGACTCTATCCGGACGTTCTGGGGAGTGCGGCACACGAACGTGGAGTCTTTACTCGGTGGTGCATCATTTGCGTACGTTTTTGTCCAAAACCCAGCAGGACCCGCATTCGACAGCATCTGGGACCAATAGAACAGGAAACGGCGTTGTGAAGGTATTGTCACGCCACGATGGGGCTTCTTATTTGGTAAGTCCCGAGGCCTCATTCGACGAGAGGAGTGAAGAGCGAGTACATTGTCGAAATAAGATGTGCTTGCGGATGCTTCATGCGGTTGCTTCGTGGGGTTTCAGAAGCGGGATTGGAAGGTAGCATTGGATCGGAAGGACTCACTAGCGGTCTCGGTGAAGATGCTAATTTAACAGCGCCCAGAAACGGATGGGGTAAATCATGACTGCTTGTCTGAACATGGTCGTTGCCATCCGCCCCCATCGTGGTCCTTTCTACTCCTTGGGATGGAATACTAAGCGGACTGATGGCGGTTGCCTCTGAAGGCGAGTTAATTTGATTAGACTTCTGCACAGAGAGAACACTGTAGTCATCGTCACTGAGTTCTGCCACCGTCTCCATCATTTCCTCAGCACGTAGCTTTGACCACTCTTGTTTTGACATGCTTCTCTCTAAACGAGGTGCCTTCGGAGGCTCCCCTAGCGAAAGGAGATAGGCACATGCAAGGGTTCCTGAACGTCCCTTCCCAGCTACCACGGGATAATGGTATTACTAGACATGCACGAGGCCCGGTATTTACTGTACCTTTACAATGCAGAACGACTACTCGTTTAGCATCACCTTCAAGCCAAACATCCATTTCTCGGGTGGCAAGAGCCATGATGGCAAGAGGAGGAGCATGGTGATCGGGGAATCTAACAACATCTCAATACTTTGCGACCTGTCCAATACGGGATACCATAACTGACGGGTATCGTGATACGTGACCTCTGAAAAATTCTGCAGGATACGAGTTCTCCTGAATCGGGCAGCTGCGAAGGTGTTTCAATTGTAAAAATATCAAAAGGGACTTCCACCGACGCTTACAAATTGAAAACCCAGTAGTCATGGCCATGTCTATGTTCTATAAATTTACGGGCGTCGTGCCTGTTGTTTCGGTAAAAGGCTTCCATGCCCTGAGCTGGTGGTCTGGGATCGGTGAAACATGATTAATTTCCAGTGTATGATGCGTATACCAGGGAACCCCATCACGATGACTCGGTCCTTAGAGGCAGTTGTTTTAGCTCAACGAAAGAATGCAGTGTTTCCCAAGCTCACAGTGACGTAGACAAGATCAAGCTCAATCTTGAGTTCTGCGGTGGGTGTATCCAAGTCGCATCATCGACTGCTGCCAGTGCTCTCAATATCACCACATACTTACCTTCGTCTTCAAATCGCGCTTTGGTGCCCGAGACTAGACGTCGTGCCCACCTCGGCATCCTTGTTGATACTCCCTTGTTGGCCGGGCCTGCGTGACGCTGTGACAGGTTGTCGGTTGATCTATATATATAGTTGGAATCAACCCCTGCCATTGAGTCCGCACCGGGCCGAGGCAGTCTGAACATAGAATCCCTTTCGAGAGATGGGTACCGCCTCGTAATGCAAATGTTGTGGACTGCATTTCACTAGTTTGTGCCCGGTTTGACTTGCTTGAATTTCGCGGGAATCTCAGGTAATCTCTCTATTTATGAAGGCTACTCCACAATTTCTTGCGAGGATACTTTGGGCCTAAACGCAATGAATGAACCGACGGCGCTCGTCGAGTACTGAATCATCACGAAAGTGAAGTCCGGTGAGGAGACACTTCCAGTGGTTTAAAAGGGAATGCACATTGATGGGGGTTCATACAACCGATTGAGTATATATACGATCACACTCGCAGTATGTGGCACGTTGAACATCGACAGCCCGTCTGGAGAAAAAGTCAGTGAAGACGTTTAAGCTGTTATCAAATGAACAAGAGAGGAGACGTAGGATGTAATGATTCCATTGCTCGGAAATACGCATCACAGTGAGGCTGAAAAGATAAGAACCCATTGTGAGTGAGCTCTCGATTAATGCGAGGAGCGATAGCATTGAGCAGGTTAGATGCGTTGGAACCATTGCGGCGGTACAACAAACCATCTTTCAAGGGAACAGGGAATACTTAGTGTTAGAAGTTGCAGCCCAACGCCACTGGTGGTCAAGGGAGTCACCCGGGCCGGACATTCACGCTTTGGGAAGGGGAGGGGCGCTTTGAGGCACAAACGGCGGCAACCTCTTAGACTCTTTGTCTTTGCGCTTTTGTTTTCAACTTGTTGTTTACCATTTATGTTTCACCTCAGTGGCGTAGAGTCATTACAAGATGTATATAAGGACCGGACTTGCGCTAGCAACTGATACCTCACTAATTGAGGTATCGCGCTGCGCAGTTATCACACTTAGATCGCTCAGGTCAAAATGGAGTATTTAAACGGACGGTGGGCAGTGTGTGAACGCCCGCAGCTGCTCTTCCATGACCGTGGCAACGTCGATATTGGGCAGCTCCAGAATAGGTACACAGAGATACAACCAAGCTCGGTCTGCTCCTGCGAGATGTCAGTTCCTCGTGACCGAAGTGTGGGAACAAGAAAAGTCGCCTCATTAATTTGTCCTTGACGCGCGCGAATGGAGGTAGGTGAGGGTTTTGAACTACCTTAGTCAATGATTTGATTCTGAAGTAGCAGAAGGGGGGGATAGGCGTGTCCCTTCGGGCCCCTTTAGCGTATACAGTTAAGCATCGAGAGGGTGAGCCGACGGACCCCGAAAAATTGCAGGAATGGCAGAAGGAGCGCATTGAACGAAGGCTAAAGGATGAATATCAGTCCTCATTGAAGCGGCTGGGAGAATTGGGAAGTTGTTTATTTTCCTCAAGTCTCATGTTTGCCTGATGTGCATTCTCGCATGCAGATTCATGCGAGCATGGACTCAACGGCCAGGGTAGCAGACGTGCACGTCCAAGGCAACACCCGGACCCGTTCTTCATTCCTTGGTTATATTATAAATCCTCATTTGAAGAATACTACCTCGACACCAAAACCCGAAACCCTGGAAGACGTACTCAATCGTGTGCACCGAATTTCCGACACCTTAGAGAGGACAGACATTTTCCACAGCGTCAGAGTGACCCTAGAACGTAGTCGCTCCCCTTTAGCCGGGTCCAATGATGTAGATGTCACGTACAACGTCCGTGATAGACCGCGGATGTTCCTCAAAGGCTCGACGGAGACTGGGAATGGGGAAGGGAGCGCTGTGGGTGTTGGTGTGAACTCAGTTTATGCTGCTTCCTGATATTTCTCTTCACTTTCCGATGCATCTTCTTGTGTCATTCTAGACTGCAATTGCCCGCATGCGCAATGCTTTCGGGGGTGCAGAGACATTGGAAGGCTCGATATCATATGGAACGCGAACACGCCAGGCTTTCCAAGTGCGGTTGGAGGCCCCTATTACTCCTACTCTGATGACCAGAGGGGAGCTCAGCGCATTTAAGTTCGAACGGGACCAAACCTCATTTGCCAGTTCTCATGAGGGTGTAACTGGGTTTAAAGCTACATTAAGGGTAAGTACGATGCTCCTGTGGTCTGAAGAATATTCATATGCAAGGTGCCTGCTTTATACATAGAGACCCACGGCTCTTGGTTTACACGAGTTATCCTATGAATTTTCCCGTCGGAGAATTAAAAATCTCACACCAGCTGCATCGATTAGGCAATTGCCATCTCCTGTACCCTTGACCTCATTGGGATCTGACCAATTTTTGACCAGTGTTCGTGAAGCTGCAGGGCCAACAGTAAAATCTTCCATATCACACATTCTCGTTCGGGACACAAGAGATGGCACAATAGCTAGTCCTGTGGGATCCTTCCTCAAGTGGACATCAGTACGTCTATCACTGCGTGGTTGACTTGACGATGTTAAGGAGTATTACGGAGCACAGGAGTTGGCTGGCGTTGGGGGTGGCGACGCATCGTTTGTGAAGACTGAAGTAGAAACCCACGTTTCGAGGCCACTTCCGTTCGTCTCGGGAACGGTGGGTGCCAATGTTAATTCTTTATCCTCGGGCAGCACTGAGGACATACTTTGTTGCCAGACAGTATCATTCGGTCTCCGCTCAGGGATTCTCGTGCCAACATTTGGGCGTAAATCACTGTTTTGTGATCGATTTTATTTGGGTGGTCCAACAAGCGTGCGAATGTTCAAGCAGAATGGACTTGGTCTTAAGGATAGAGGTAGGGCTTCATTCCGGAATGGGGTGTTTCATGATCTAATTCTAGGTTAACAGCCGACTCGTTGGGAGGGGAACTTTTCTGGTCTGCCGGGCTGAGCTTCATTAGTGATATTCCCCGAAAATCTCACTGGCCACTCAAATCGCATATTTTCTTCAACGCCGGTCGCCTTGACATGTTAGATCGATATCGAGGTGAGCTTCCATTGTAAAAATTTACGGAATTGATTTTGAGGGGTTATCGTAGCGACCGATGCGGCCCTGCTGCGAGAATTCTTTGCAAGACCTTCAGTGTCAGCTGGAGTCGGTTTGATTTACCGGTTTGATCCCATACGATTGGAAGTCAACTTTGGCGTGCCATTGGTTGCTGCGAAGAGTGATTGGGCACGGAAAGGCGTCCAAGTTGGAATAGGATTGGAATTTTTATAGTGCATAGTCTGGATTTATCGCCTGATAGTATAGGTCCATACTTATTACAGATCACCCTTTTACAGATCACCCCGCGTAGTCGGTGCCTAATAAACAATTCCCCCGGTGTTTGCGATTAGATGCTACTGGCGGCAAATATCCTGTTAAGCAGCGTTTGTTGACAATTGACGGTAGCTCACTTTCTGTTTGGCCAATGGTTATCGCGCCCGACATACCACTTCGCCTCCAAGATTCATTGCTACTGCTTCCCTCGCTTCCACCCATTGTCTATCTCCAACCTTTACGACGCCAATTTCACCCATCCCCAGGGGTTTGATGAAATTACTTCGTTTCCCGCTGACCAGCCGCCGTATACCATGAGGATCCATAAATATACGTTTCGAAGGAGTGCTAACAAGAGACATAGATGAAAGGACAGGCCGGTCGCCACGATACTTCAGGAACGCCCAGATGCGACGATGCGGTTCTGTGACGAATGCCCATTCGGATGGAGAAGGCTCTGATGCAGTCCCCCTTGTAATAGATGACAGAAAGCCTATATATGAGCGATCACTGATTGTTCGTATTGATGGCTTCGGTGAATGCAAACCTTCGCGCAAGAGTATGCTCAGGATTGCTAGATTTTGGGTGGTGTGTGGGACAGCAATCTTAGCGCGCCGCATGCGGAAACCATTTTGGATTTGGGAGCACAGATCATGAGGGAGAGGCATTTTTAGCTCACGCTTTACCGCGTGCCGACGGCGATGTCCCACTATGCAATATACTGTGGAGGCTGCTTTGGCTTATGCCTGCTCTCAACTCACTCTGAGCACATGACTGCGGGAAAATATCCTTGTCTCTCACGTGGCAAATTTCTCGCGTTACAGGCCGACTACTTACTCTTATTCCCACTTCCTACCGCCGATTCCAAAATTGGCCATTTTGATTTCATTGAAAGAGATCTAGGACCAACCACCCCCGTGGACACGCGCCGAGAGTGCCATACACCTCTCCTATGTGTCATTACTTCACTTTATTTTCCTCGTATCTTCCCAACCTCGATGCATCATCCACACATAGATATCAGATCCTCATCTCTGTCTCTCAAACAGCCCTCACCCGTGTCACCATGTGCCGATACATACTCTAAAATGGAATCCATTCATCCACCCATGCTCCTACATGGTCCCTGTTGGCCCGTTGCCCGTTGCGCCACTTCCACACCCCGGTATTTAACCCCCTCAGAGACATGGCAAAGAGAATTACTTGTGTTGCTCACCACTTTTTTTCGTTGTAAATAATTTAACCGTGGAGCGCAGCTACGAAGTCATAGAGGCTGGGGTGCTGCCTACAGCCCAGCAATCGCTGAATTTAATATTCCATAAGCGGATATATCCTCATGCACGAAATTCACGTTAAGAGGCAGCGAAGAACGAAAAGTAAATAGACATCAGGCCATCGGGTTGGTGGTGTACAACCGGCTGTGACGTCATTGCCAATCCCCACACAACGGCAATGATTCTTTTCCCTTGGCCTATTGCTTTGGAAAGGGTCCTACAATCATTTGGGTTTGGTGGCTCAAAACTGAGACTCCGGAAAACATTGAAAGTCAAAACGTATGCGGTGTATCAGTACAGTATATCATCAAATTAGGGAGTCTGTATGCGTAGCCATGATACTGGAAATGACATCTGACAACATGCCTGAAGCGCGCCGCTCTCTGCCCTCGGAACCTGCAGTCAATTCCACAATTAATTAACAGAAAGAAATCCACTTAACAGACTACCCCTGAATGCTCCACAATAAAGATACAGAGATACAGAAGGGCCCCTCTTGGAACTATACTAATCGAGCAACCATCGCCATTCGTTCAAAATCGGCGAGGGAGACAGACTTGTCGGCAGACGTAGAAAAGGCGTCCAACATTTCAACAATCTGGTCATCTCTGTGTTAGGAAGCGGGGAGAACAGTAGGCTGGACGCACCTCCTCTGCTTTAAGCTTCTCATCGAGAAGCTCAGCGACGCGCTTAATGTCTTTAATCATGATTCTCTTCTTTGACAACTCATCCGAATCAATGGAATGTCAGGAAAGAAGAGTCCAAAAGCTTTCCGGGCTTCCCCTTTTTGTCGAGCCGTCATGGGCTCCGAAGTGCCATCGGAGGAGGCGGAAGATGCTCTACGTGCGTGCCTGCGCGTCTTCCTTCGGGATTTGACTGAGGCCAAGAGGTCTGCCTCATAATCCGAATCGTCCTGTGCTACCTCATCCTCATCCTCTTCGTCCTCAATTAAAAAATCCCCATCTTTCTCGTCACCTGCAATCGACTCGTCGGGCTGATCATCTTCGGCATCTCCGTCGTCTTCAAGTATGAAACCGCCACCATCATCCGATTCCCCAGCCATATCTACATCAGAGGCCTGACTGGGGCTTTGTTCGTGGGCGATAAGTAGCACAGCACAAACCTCGCGCCAGTCGTCGAGTTTCACACCGTGTTCTCCATTAGACGAGTCTCCCCATCCGAAGGCGGCACTTCTGAAGGTGGCTAAGACATCTTCATCATCTGGCGGCAGGTCAAGTCTCTGCAGCTACAATGGGCGTTAGCTTAGCTATCGCAGTTAGTCACTCAGAATTACCGACCGCAGTTGGGATATCAGTGAGTCGAATGTACGGAGCTGGGGGCTTTACATCCGTACCGTTCTCGTGAGATTCTGTTCTGGATGAAGTAGGGTCATCAATGAGAAAACCTGCAGCCTCGTCTGCGTCTAGGAGGAAACCTCCTGCTTCCTCGTCAGGCATCGCCCTCATAGGAATATTTTGGGTTGTTTTGCGGCGCTTATATGGACGACCAGATTCCTCAGAGTCGTCAGACACGCGCTTATCCCTAGGCTACCACGCGTCAACAGTTGTGAATTTGAGCGCCAAAAGGACATGAGTCACCGTCGCATTTATTGCCTCGTCGAATACGCGATCGATTCGTTTCCTGAGTCTATGGGATAGTTGACTGTACTCTGAAGCCATCCCAAGCCCTCTGAACAGCGAGCGTGCCGTCCAAAGCGTTTGGAGTCAGTGTGTTTGTTTACATCACGTGTGACTATTTGTTGTTGTTTGTGTCAGGGAATAAAACTGGCTGTTGTTGCCTCCGCCGTTCAAGCCCACCATTTGTGTGTCCGACACCGACGACTGCTGTCTGCCACAGTCATCTAAGCGCCCCCTTTATATCATCTATATCCAGTATTACAGATTACCATGCAATCGGCAAGTCCTATCCTTATAAGAATCCGGCTTTGGCTCATGGGAACTGAACGGGCAGCGTCGAACACGCGCCAGTCGGCTTGTGGACGCAGAGGCTGTATCGTCGACACGCAGTGGCATCGCTCGTAGTGCCGCAACTAAACCTCGTACTGGTGCTGGCCTGTCAGGGACAGCCCATCCTAACATCGCCAAACCGTCACTAAGGAGCGCGTCATCCAAAGATACGAAGGAGGTTGTCCAAAAAGATGTTGAAAAGCCATCAACAACCGCATCTGCTCCTGCACCCTCTAAGCGAAAGCGAGAGGTCTCCGGCGATCCTACCGCGAAGAATGGCAAAACAAAACCAACGATTGTGACAGACAAGGAAAACCATTTACAAAAACATCCTACAGCCTATGTTGAAATCCCATCTCATTCTTCCAAAACACGTTCATCCTCTGCTATTTCTGCTCCTCCAGACCGCAAAATTGCTGCTTCTTCGACTACCGCTGGTCGCAGTAGAATACGGGTTTTAAAGGACGGGGTCAAGGATGAGAAAATTGACGAGCATCCTGATGAGGATGGTGCAATGATCATCGAGAAGGAAATAACTCAAGAGCGTGCTGCTCGTGGTAGTTCTTCGCGTATTCCTATGCCTGGTCACCCATCGGGGACAACCTCACGACGTGTCACAACATCAAAGCGCGTGGTCTCGACCTCACATCTTCGTCGTCCCGTTAAACTAGAAGAGCCAGAAGTAGAAGCTGTTGGGCGTATTGCCAAGAAACGCCGGACATCATCCGTTGGTCCCGATGATGCGGACCAGCCTCGACAAGGCCGTAGCTCATTGGAAGAGTCTGCACTTGCAAAGGAGACTGCTGCCATAGAGGAAGTCAAGTGGGAAGATCTTGACAAGGAGGACGAAGGGGATCCACTCATGGTTTCGGAGTATGTTGTGGACATCTTCCAGTACCTCTTGCAACTAGAGCAACAAACGATGCCCAACCCGAATTATATCGATACACAGAGAGACCTCGCTTGGAAGATGCGAGGCATCCTTATGGATTGGCTTATTCAAGTCCACGGCCGTTTTCGCCTTCTCCCTGAAACACTTTTTCTCGCCGTAAATATTGTCGACCGGTTCCTCAGCGCCAGGACTGTTTCCCTTGTTCGACTGCAGCTTGTTGGGATTACTGCTATCTTCATAGCAGCCAAGTACGAAGAAATCATGGCCCCTTCCCTCCACAACTTTATCTATTGTTCTGACTCTACGTATGAGGAGAAGGATATAATTGAGGCGGAAAAGTATATCCTGAAATCCCTGGACTGGAATCTCAGCTACCCCAACCCTATTCACTTCCTTCGACGAGCAAGCAAGGCAGATAATTATGACCTTCAAGTCCGCACGGTCGCCAAGTATCTGATCGAGATCTCTTGCGTAGACTGGCGTCTTCTGCCTTATCCTCCAAGCGCTATTGCCGCAGCTGGCATGTGGCTCGCGCGATTAATACTAGAGAAAGAAGAATGGGTATGTTCCTGCTTGTTGTATGCTATGACCTGTGCTCATTCCATTCCCAGACCCCCAATCTGGAGCATTATTCCGGCTATTCTGAAGAGGCACTTCTCCCAGGGGCCCAAATAATGCTAGCATACCTTCTTCGCGCTGTTCGACACGAATCTTTCTACAAGAAGTATGCAGCGAAGAAGTATATGAAGGTCAGCGCATACGTTCGGGACTGGGCATGGGCAAAGTTCGGCGCACATGAAGTGGACTATGACGAAGAGGGAGAAGCGCTGACAGGGATAGAGCCACACAAGAATATCGTCCCACAACCGGCATCGATAACTCTCTTCGACGTTCTGCCTCGCCTGCGTGAGGAAGCAAGATTACGGAAAGAGGCCGAGAAAGCGGCGGAAGATGAGTTGGGTGTACTTCATGAAGAGGATGAAGAGTAGATTCGTTCTCTGTCGCCTCTCGTCCGCTTGACGCTATCCATCATTCTACCTGGGTCTTTGCTTTCAATTCACTCCCGATGCCCCCCTCCCCCATATACCCTCACCACTAACATCGCTCATGTTCATCAGCACTGAACCGAAAACCGTTTCACATGTCCTCTGGACTCTCAGCAGTTATGATATCTTATTCTTCCAACATCACAACACACACTACCCTTCCGCACAAAGTACTGCGATTCCAAGCGTTCATGTTTCGTTAAACCAATTCGTTTGTCTGAGTCCTTGCAAACACGATGTGTGATTCATTGCATCCCGGCTTCCCTAGGAGACGTCGTGGCCTTTCCCTTCATAAATTTTGTCGCATAACCTTCACCTTTATGATTCCGTTATCTTATTTCCTTAAATTTTCTTTTCTGTAGTGTTTCGACATGGTTATGAACGCCTCCAAACATTTGACGGACTAATGCAATCCCATTGGTTGGAACGAACGATTGCCCGATTATGGCCAGGACGAGCAGAACTTAATACACATAAATGAGTTGATGGTCCAGATGAGCGATCATAGCGATTCGATAATTTCGCGGCACCAGGGATTGGCTTCAATCCTAGGCCTGTATTGATCGAAGATAGCACGCAATTGCTGAAGTTGCGCTGCGTTTTCATCGCCTTCAATAGCCTCACTCATGACGACGTCTTCGCCAGTTTGACCGGATTTTTGAGCTGTCCACGTCCGGAAGACCTCTTCAACAAGCTTGGCGCCCTCCTCCATTTCTTGACGCGAGTACTTGCTTGGTTCGAAGTGGGTGGTTTCTACAAGATCGCATTGAGCCGGCCTTTCGTGATCAGCATCGTAATTATACGTACCTCCGAAATCTTCTAATTCTTCTGCCTTGCGCTTCGCTAACTAAAAGGGAAGAGGATCAAGAAAACATTGTGACAGGATGTAATGCCCAACCAACCTTCACCACATTTTCTGGGAAATTCGCCAATTCGGCAACGTGAATACCGAAACTTTGGTCGCAGACTCCTGGGGTACCAGTCAGGCCGAGACGTCCAAATATACACGGACAACGCACCTGGCTCCACCTTGTATAGGAGTGTGATGTCACGATCATGCTTGCTTTTAGCGCTGTCTCGGGCAGTGACGTGAGCTACAACGTGTAGATTTTGAACCTGAGGTGCTTCTTGAGCTAGGGCAGTGAGCTCGTGGAAGTGTGTGGCAAAAAGGCAGAATGCATGTATTTCTGTGGTAATGTGCCTGTGATGCGTGTCAGCGGTGTAATTCAATATAAATCGATCAAGTGGACTAACTCCGATATCGCCCAAGCAAGACCAAACCCATCGTATGTGGAAGTCCCCCTGCCGAGTTCATCGATAATAATCAGAGAGTCCTGAGTAGCAGACTGTCATGGGTAGGATCGTCAGCTTCAGCACTCTATTAAGAAGAATAAGAAACACCTTCAAAATCGTAGCAGTTTCAAGCATTTCTGCCATGAAGGTGGATACACCTTTAAGTTGACTGTCGCCGGCCCCGACACGGCATAAAATCGAATCGAACACAGGTAGCTGTGCCTCTTCGCATGGCACGAAACACCCTATTTGTGCCATTAATGCGACCACTCCCACCTGGCTCAAAAGTTAGTACGAATATAATGCTGGGGGCTCCGCTTACCTGACGGATATAGGTTGACTTCCCTCCCATGTTTGGCCCAGTAATGATTAAGAAATCGCTTTTCCCTGAAATTGGGGTAAGCAAAATCCGACTATACGAGAAAATGAAAGCGAACCTTTCACCAGCGAGACATCATTCGGAATGAAACTAATCTCATCTTGTACTTCAAGACAAGGATGTCGGGCCTCCTTGAGGATGAGATCGCCTCCACCTAAAGCGTGTATATGTCCACTTTAATGACTACCGACAGTGAGTGGAAGTCACGTAGCTGACGCTTACCTTTATCCAGTACTGTAGGCTTGACATAGGGTGTCGGCGCAGACACGGATGCTTCTGCCATGCTATGAAAGTCCGATTGTTTGACAGCCTGCTCAACAATCCCAGTTTACGTACCTGGCAATACAGTCTAGATCTGCCAAAAGATCATCTAGAGCTTCCAGAACAGGTGTGTATGTCGCTATACACATCAAAAAAGGGATTAACCTCGTGTTGAGTGAAGCAATGACGCAGGTCACTGACCAGCAATGCTGACAACTTCTTTAACAAGGCTGCTTTGCTCTTTCTGATACTCCTCACTGTAATCTCGGAACGATGATGCCACTTCTTTCATGGTTTTCGTTGTGAAGAAGGTCCCCGACTTTTGAGTGGTTAATTCGATATAGTTGCGATTGTTGTGGATTGCCTTGGCATCCTATAGAGGCCGGCCAATGCTGTTACAAGCCTAGTACGGGAAGGGGATAAAGCGAAACTCACTCCTTTCGACAGTCGGAAACAATAGCCCCAAGTTGGATTGTTCTCTAAATGCAGCTTCTTGTCAAGGTCGAGGTCCAAATCTTTCCCAACCCGTCGATGTTCCTTATCTAGGGCATCTCGAGCATTGGAAAGATGCTCGGTTAATTCTTGCAATCGCGCATTATATTCAGGCTTGATGACATAGTTGTGGCGATCAAGTTCCTCTAAATCAATGGTCTGCTCGACCATGTCCGCATATCTCCCCAGCGTCTCCACATGTTCCTAATTGTGATATGTTATCAATACAGGGTGTAGCGTAGCGAGATGTCTGAAATGACCTTAAATTTCGTTGTATACCGTCCATCAATGAGTTCACGCCTGGCTGAATCGCAGGTTATAGCCCGGAGATTCTCTACGAGCCCATTGAGCTGGAAATGGCGAGCTGAGATGGGCCCAAGCATGGGAAAAAGAACACGCACCTTGAGTATTGCTTGGTATACTCGCACGACATCCTCCAACGAAGCAATAGATCGTTGAAATCGCTTGGTCAGGCGGCGCATGTCGGGCATAGGCTTTAAGAAGTCATCCTAGATTATCATTTCATGAGCTTCATCAAAAAAGGGGAAAGGCCACAAACTACACACCCGCAAGATGTGTCGCGAGTTGTTGTCCTGCACCAAAACTTCTACCAGGTCTTGACGTTTGACTGCAAACGCCATGACATTCATATGGCCATTGTCACTATTTGCCAATACGAGTGCTTACCCACCAATCTCATGAAGGTTTACAAGGGCTGCTTGAGCCACTGGCCAAGAAGGCGAACACCCTGAGCAGTTTTACACCGATTCAATATACCGAAAAGAGTCATGTTCTTGCTCTGCCCCACTTCATGGGTGCTCGGTATGAGGTTGAGCGCGCGCAAAGCAGATGCATCCAAGCGCATATACTGAGATAGGTCGTGCCTCACCAGAGCGTACTGTGCATGATTTGAATCGTCGTGAGTGAGAGAGAGGTATGAGATGAGGGCCGCCGTGGCGCCCATTGCAACTTTTAAATCAAATTCAGCTAAAAGGGAATATCAGCTCCCTTCTCCCAAAATGCGAGAAACTCTATTACGTCGGGTAGCAGCAGAAGTTTCCCCTTTGAGTAGCCGGTTGAGATCCTGTTCAATGTTGTGAGTAGCAAATTCGGCTGTGGATATAGTCAGACGAAGAACAATGGATAGAAGCAGTTGTAGCAAACATGATTTTCTCTCGGTCATCACAATGCTGCAACGGTCTAATATAACACGCAGTTTCCCTAATTCTATGTCTTTCTCTTTTGGATCGGACTGGACCAAACACTCCTTCACTCCAAGTTGGATGAGGAGTGACTATGAGAAGTTGTTGGTTAGCTCACGATATAATGATGCAATGCCAAGCACCTACTTCGGTATTAGACAACAAATCATTGTCGACATACTCTGACACGCCAATTTGTCTCACGGTGGCATCCGCGAAAGCGACTCCGACATTATTAAGATTATCCTTCTTCGAGAGCTTGATCGACATGATGACGGGTGCGGACAGAATATCAGAATTAGCGAATAATAATTCTTCGACGTCTTGAAGATTTCCCGGGGAAGCCTATTCGACAGCAGAGATGCGGCAGTGGATCAAAATAATGCGAGGCACTGGCTGTACCTTCTTAGAGAGATCGAACTTCCCACTTTTCTTGCCACCTTCAGTAGTCCAAATTTCGATCTTGAGCTGTTTTGCGGTTAGTCCCTCGCGCAAAAACGACTTTGCTGCTGCCTGTGTCAGGTTTACGGTAGGGAGGGAGTCTGGTTGCCTTCCCCAGTACTTTATGACCGAATGAGTTCGGAACACATGAGTAGCAACATAAATTGCGTCTGGGCCATGCACGGTGTAGTAATCTCCCGACTGGAAATACACAGTTATGACGCGCCCAGTTTCAAGAGAGCCAAAAAATATTTGCCTGCCGCTCGAACAAACGTATGGTGTCCTCCCCTTTCTATGATATTGCACTCATTAGAAAAGGCAAAAACACGCCAATAATTGCTTACTGAAGGTAATTTCTTGTAAAATGACACAAAACCAAGTTCGCTGGCGTCTTGAAGCGATTGTTACCAACTGTGAGCATATCAGCTCTCACAAAGAGTGCGGCCCACCTCCATTCTCCGCCTTCTCTTTGACTTGGTACATGTTAATACGGTTGCCGAGCAGGGCCAGGTCTAAGTTTGCATCCGACTCAAGCGCCGCGCGTCACGACCTCATCGCTACGCGTCTATACATAAGTCAATTTGCGTTTTAACGGCTCCAGCGCTGTTGTGGACATACTAGGCACCACACCAACACTTTTTCTCGCTTTTTCCGAGTGAAATTCATGCCTTACATACCTGCGCTTTGAACTCACCGCTACGCGTCTCTACATAAGTTAACTGCGTTTTAAGCGACTCTGGCGCTGTTGTGGACATACTAGGCACCACACAATCACTTTTTTTTGGCTTCTCTTCTCTGGTTAAAATTTGGACATTCTTCGAGTCTCTTTGGTCCGCAAACCGCTGATTGATCAAGCTATGTGTCACATAGGTTATGTATTACATAGTTTTGTATGTATACTGGTAACATCCCTGACTACTATCACCCACTTACGGTTGCCCAGCAGGCCAGGTTGAACGTTAACGTTCGCATCATGGCCACAAGTCACGTGTTTTTTTATTTTTTATTTTTCTGTTGAGCTCACCGCTACGCGTGTTTACACTGCTACAAACACCACATCAGACTCGTACCCAGTTGTTTTCACTCTGTGGACGTGCGCGCGACACTGCAATGTGGAAATGCGACTAAGTAGTTTTGTATTCAATGTAAAGTCACGTTCCGCTTTCAATACAAAGAGTCACATGCTACTCCGAAAATTTGTGCGGACATGGGGAACCTCATGTGTTCCAGAATTGTTTTCTGAGAGGATCGCGTCGAATTTGGCAAATGCGTAAGTGGACTGCCACTGCTAATGGTGTGAGGTGCCGCGCGGAGTAGCATGTGACTCTTTGTATTGAAAGCAGAACGTGACTTTACATTGAATACAAAACTACTTAGTCGCATTTCCACATTGCAGTGTCGCGCGCACGTCCACAGAGTGAAAACAACTGGGTACGAGTCTGATGTGGTGTTTGTAGCAGTGTAAACACGCGTAGCGGTGAGCTCAACAGAAAAATAAAAAATAAAAAAACACGTGACTTGTGGCCATGATGCGAACGTTAACGTTCAACCTGGCCTGCTGGGCAACCGTAAGTGGGTGATAGTAGTCAGGGATGTTACCAGTATACATACAAAACTATGTAATACATAACCTATGTGACACATAGCTTGATCAATCAGCGGTTTGCGGACCAAAGAGACTCGAAGAATGTCCAAATTTTAACCAGAGAAGAGAAGCCAAAAAAAAGTGATTGTGTGGTGCCTAGTATGTCCACAACAGCGCCAGAGTCGCTTAAAATGCAGTTAACTTATGTAGAGACGCGTAGCGGTGAGTTCAAAGCGCAGGTATGTAAGGCATGAATTTCGCTCGGAAAAAGCGAGAAAAAGTGTTGGTGTGGTGCCTAGTATGTCCACAACAGCGCTGGAGCCATTAAAACGCAAATTGACTTATGTATAGACGCGTAGCGATGAGGTCGTGACGCGCGGCGCTTGAGTCGGATGCAAACTTAGACCTGGCCCTGCTCGGCAACCGTATGTTAAGCAAGTGTGAAGCACGTCGCGTGAATTCGCGAATTCTGAATTCAAATGAGCCGGAAGCAAAGCGTGTACCCAAAGCCCTCGGTCGGTCTCGAGGCCCATCAATGTCCTGGCTCATGATGGCACATCTGTGGTTATTTGGCTTATCGCTCGCTTCTGCCTCTTTTGCTAGATCGATCTCAGCCGAAGGGAGATGGATAAAGGTCGCCCAGCACGGGGTGGATTCTCCGTCGTTCCCTCCATGTGCCCGGCAGTCCTATCTGGGTGCCTATGGACATCCCCTCCGACACGTCTTCGCAACAAGGCAGATGAAATGCCTCGATGAAGCGCAAGCAGACCTCGTAGCATATATAGAACCAAGAGACGAACCATTCACCCTCATCTGGCTTCAGGATTCTGGAGTCGATGTCTCCATACGCCAAGCTTCTCCTTTGGAAGAATGGCTGTCAGACCCTGGTCTACACCTTCGGACCAGGGCTCAGCTCCTCAAGACGCGTGCTGGCTTACACGATGAAACTCAACATCCCATTGGGTCCGTTGGTCTGGATGTCGGCATCCGGTTGGAATGGTTTGCCCAGACACACGGGATTCTGTCCATAGACAATAATTTAATGGGCTACCTCGATACTCTCATTCCTCCATATGTCTCTGCAGTCGGCATGACCTCTCCTTTCAGCGAGGACGAGACTGGTCCATTCTTACCTGTTCCTCAGGCCTCGATCGAGCGTGTGCGAGCTCTGATTGAGGGCCTGAGGTTCAACCCTGATGTCGCCTCCATCCTTTCGACCCTTTCGGTCAAGGACATGACCGCCGACATCATGCATTTGACAGGGGAAGATGGTGGTGGAATTCTAACGCGGCATAGCTTCTCCGAAGGTGCATTGGTCGCTGCGGACTGGATTCAGAAGCAATTCGAAGAAACTGGTGCGATATGCCATCAGAAGTCCTTCCTAGTGGGATTTTCACCTAATATCATATGGTAAGTCTCTCCAGTTGATGTGGCAGATGTATCCCTACTGATTGTTACAACTCCCATGTAGCCGTTACGAGGGCACTGGAAACGGTACATCGCTCGTGCTCCTTTCCGCTCACTATGACTCTCGCGGTAGCTACGGTAGCACCCGTGCTCCAGGAGCCAACGATGATGGCAGCGGTGTAACACATCTTTTGGCTATTGCGAAGGCCATTAAATCGAACAAGATCAAGTTTAAATCCCCCGTCGAACTGGTCGCATTTTCCGGAGAAGAGCAAGGCCTCTTTGGTAGTCAAGCATATGCCAGTTAGTTGATTTTTTGGTTGTGATGACGGACGGAGGCGCTGACAATGTGCTGGCCTTTCAAGAGGAACTTCGTGAGCAGGGCGCAGATATCACACTGATGATTCAGGCGGATATGCTTGCGTATCACTCTCCAACTGAACCCATGCAGCTTGGTCTACCCGAATTGTACGTTCCCGCCGATCACAACACTTATGATCATCTTTAACATTACTCTCAGCATCGGACTGCCGGAGGCAGCGTGGTTGTTATCCAACGTGTCGAAAATTTATAGTCCTGAATTGACAGTCGGGGTGACTAGTGTAAGCCGTGCATTCGGATATCTGGTAGGGGATCTAATATTGTGTATGTTCTCGTAGGCATGTTGTAGTGATCATCAATCATTCCATTTGGAGGGCTTCCCAGCCACTCAAGTCTTTGAGCGTGCTGGTCCAATTCTTGATCCCATGTATCACAATTCAGGTAAGTACGTTGTACCTCTTTTTCTGGGTTTGAAGCCATCACTATTGACAGGTGATTTGAGTAAACGGGAAGGTTATGATCTCCAGCAAGTCAGGTCTATTGCCAAAGTTACGGTATGTAATGCTACTGCTGGATCTCGGCGATGAAGCACTTACGATCGATTTCACAATCACTGTTAGTTTTCAAGCGTCTTGGAAGCTGCAGGATTCGTCATCGATTCTTAAAGTACCGAGATCCCTCAGTGGGAGCTATAATCTATTTAATGTTCTCGCTACGGTACAAAGAATTGAAGCCACAATAATTATAATTAATCAGCGAGCGTAAAGCGTCACACGTCAGCCTCACCTTACAGCTGAGTGAGGACGAAAGGGTTTCTGTACTACAATGTAAAGGTCTCTATATAATATTACGAAGCCATAGAGGCTGGAGTCCTGCCTAGTAAAGGTCAAGACGCTGGTGGCACAGAATGTGAACGAATACATATAAAAGATCAAGCTAGCTTTTGCGTGCCATTGAGTTTCCAACAACCGAGAAGATGAAGAAAATGACCTAGTAACTCAACTCGCTACCTAATCTGCGCACCAAAATATGACGAACACTTAGCTAGACCATGTCACCATATTGAGCTTTCCGTTGCTTGTCCCGCTTACGTTTTCTAGTCGCAAAGCTTGATTATCGGCATCAGCCGATCGTGAAGAGCAATGTTTCCTTCACTCCTCACACTCCCACCGTCCTCCATTGAGGTTCTGGATGCAGAAGAAGAGGTGCATAGAAATATGGCCACCTCAGGATGATTCCTGACGCTCGTAACGACAGGTCTTCAACTTGTATTCTTCCAGATTTTCCTCCACTCTGGGTTCTGCCGGTTTGGGAAGCTATGACTCGTTGCATGATGAGATATCTGTTAGGATTGACCTAAGGGCTTCGCCTCCCAAGGGGCTTCTTGAAACACCCTCGCGAACGCCGAAGCTTAAATCCCGATCGGAAAACAGGCAAATGCATGTTTGCTTGAAACAAGACATCACAAGTCTTCGGACCAGAAGAGGTGATACTGGTAGCGTCCTTTGGAGAGCAAGGTAGCTTGAGCAATACACATGCCCGACGCGCCCCCTTACCGCGCATTTTCTTGTAGCATTGAACTTGCTCGTGTCATCCTGAGTGACTGCTATTGTCCGGTGGTTGAAGGTAGCCGCTCATTTATCAATCCCACGAAGTTCCGTGAGGCGCGCGTCCTGGAACTTGGGTCAGGGATTGGACTTCTTGGTTGCCTATTCGCCCCGCTAGTGAAGCATTACATTGTAACGGACTTGCCGGAAATGTTACCTCTCATTCAAAAAAACATGGACGAAAACGTGACGAAAACTGATTCAAATCCTCCCCAAACTCGCGCACACAGATCAAAAAATCGGCAATCTTTGGATGCTCAGGTCCCATCAGCGCCTAACTATAGTATTGCTGCCCTTGATTGGACAGACGTGGCAACCTCTGCACCGAGCAGCACCGCGCGGAAGCTCGTTCGAACTTCTGTCCTAGGATCTCCGTCGGAGCACATTGACCTGATCATTGCCGTTGACACCCTTTACAATACGTCACTCGTATCTCCATTTCTTGCCACACTGGAAGAGTTTGCCAATGGACCCAGTACCAAGGCGGAGGGGGGCGTGCGAGAAAGCACAGCTGTCCTTGTTGTGTGTGAGCTCAGGGATGAGGACGTCATTCGTGTTTTCCTGGAAGGGTGGCTTTCACTCGGCGGTTGGAAGGTATGGCGGGTTGGTGATCATGCATCGCCAGATGCACGAGATACAAACAATGTTACCCTCGGATATGGGATTCCCTCAGAGGCTTTTTTCGATGGTCCCTTCGTTGCTTGGTTGGGCTGGAAAGCCTAGTTGTTACGTGTCTACTTATCGCGGAAGGTTTTAGGACCCTCACGATGAGCGATTTTTGGTCCCAGTGTAGACGTACCTCTGCTGCGAATGAGTCATCACACGCTGAATCATTTAGGTGGAACCGAGCTCCATGCTTCCGCCGATGGAGCTCATCAATTACAGAAGACCAAAGGGAGCAGAGCCATTGGTGCACTATCCAATGACCCCAATTGGCTGCTATCATTGCGACGTTTATAGGCTAAACAACCGCTGGCGCTAGACATTACGCTAGTTTTCTTCGGCGGCCTAGCCTAATGAGTCATGATGACACACTTTGACTGAAGATCATGAAGCCGTGTATCATTGCCAATATATCTTTAGTCAGAGAAGACAGGAATTGTGACAGCTATGTTGTAAACGTCACTTCTGGACTTTGAGATCGATATATCGGAGGAACGGGTAATGATTCAGTGTGGCCGGAGCGAATCCCACGTAGATTTGTCGTTTGCCGTCAGCAGAGTAATAAGTGGGGTTCGATTGGGGCGATGCCAGGCATGAGTTAACGTTCCCGGGGACTCTGCTGCTAGCAGAAAGAACTCGATCATATCAAGTTCCAATGGTGCGTCATCAATGTGCCCGAGGCGTGGTGCAGAACGACGGAGAAAATGTTTTGCCACCCTAGCTCCGAATAATATAGGGCGCATAGCGATAGTACTCCGAGAGTTTCCAATTTACACGGTCCCAAGTTACCGATCAGCCGGAAGCAATGCAGTTGCGGCTGATTGGCTGGGGAGTCTGGTCTTCCCACGACGTACCCCCTCTAGAGATTAATCGTTTTGCTCACGTTGACATTATATCCGGATGCCATTAAAGACGTTAGGACGAGATCCTGAAGGGGATAAAGGAGAATAATGCAATTCAAGAATTTTCATTTAAATTTTTGAGTGGCGCATCTCAAATGAGCGATTCCGAGTGGAAGCTACCAGGTTGAGGAGCTTTGCAGTCACAGCTCACAGGTATCCATTGCCGTCGCCAGCCTTTCCATGGAACTCTTCTCTCGGTCCCAGAGTACAACCGTAGACTCTCTTCTGATAAGCCAGAGGTTCAAAACAAGAAGGTCATCTTCTATGGTATTGGTATTGGCCTACATTGATATTATTCAGGTTGGAGATATACAGGCTGATGGGTTCATATTAGTGCCCCTGTCACCCCTTTGTCTTCTTAAACGCTGGTCTGAACGTCAAGGTCAATCGCAACACCATCCTCCCTTCAGCATCTTTTGCTCGCACAACGGATGGCACTGTCGTGGGTGTCGCAGGTGCATCACCATCTTCTGTGGGCTTCTGGCATGACAAACACCCTACGAACAGTTAAGAGTCGAGATGGAACGGAAGAGCCTAGGCCAGCCGAAGATGTAGTTGCTAAGCTAACGAACCACCGCGTACATGAGCATGCGGGGTCCCAAACTACCAATCGTCCAGGAAAAATATAATTCGTTTGCAGTTCTGATCAGGCGCCCACACCATACAAACCCCCACCAGAGCCACCGCGCCTCCTTGGCAGCATGTTTCATTTTTATGGACTCCAGGTCTTCTACGATACCCCACAACCAATGCGCCCAACGGCCAGGACGCACATGTTGTGTATGAGACGGCCAGCGAGAAGCCGCATGACGAAGATTATCCATTACAATTATGTAATTACTGGACCAATAAGAGGAAACATAGCGCCGGAGAAGAAAAGGTCAGAGGCAAACTGGAACAAACATTATGAATGCACATGATGCCAGCAACGTCCAACAAACAAAGTCCAAAGAAAGAAGTATGTGCGATCAGATCTCAGGAGTGCAACTAAGTCCGATTTTCCAGTGCTCAGAAACCGTAGCCTCTTTAGCAACGAATCCCCCGGGCACGGAGTGGAGATGGCCATACGGACGACATGATAGATTTCTCCTATATGATGCAGTCAATAATAAAAGTATCAAACCTGAAGAATGCCAACAAATCGCTGTACTTCTTCGTATGTTTGTCAATGACATCGGAGTCGTCGTTTATAGAGGGCGACGCTGACTCTGCTCCATGAAATATCGTTTTTCCTGGTGGCGGCTTTGGTTAGCTTGAGTTGGGCGAGGTGGACCCTCTTCGTAAGATTTCGAAGGATGGGCGGGGCAATTTGGGTGCTCGTACATGAAACGAGACAGGGAGGAGTGGGGATGAGGGGTGAGGGTCGAGGTAGTCGGTGAACATGGCTGATTCCATCCCGTCATAATCTGCGGACCATTTGACGTCTCGAACACGGTGAGCGTAGGACCCGGAGGTCCCCCGGGTATGCAGTCTCCTTGGCGGCGCCCCCGGAGGGTGTCGGGGCGCGCGAATTGGGAGAAGGGTATGCTTGGCGCAAGTGGAGAATGAGAGTCGGCATACAACATGGGATGATTGGGATGATGCGGTGCTGTTGGTCTGATACGACCAAGAGCGGACGCCGCTTCAGAGGAGCGCTGACGAATATATTGTTCTGCTGGCGGCTGCAGGGAGTCTGCGCGGTGATACTGACTAGAGGACGCGGGCGCGTCCCATGAGCGATGCGCCTCACCATGAAGATGGTATTTCCCATTCGCATCCAAACCAGAGCGTTGTTGAGAACGAGGCGGTCCCGCGACATCTAACGCGCCTAATTCAAAATGTTGTAGATCAGTGACCCCACTCTGCCCATCGGTTCCATAACTATCGTCTCCGGGAATGAGGTTATCGGGGAATGGCAGGGGCGAGAGTTGGGGGGGAAGGTTAATTCCTGAACCCTGCCCGGAGATGTGGTCGCTAGCTGGATGAGAAACTACTACTTGCTCCGCCGGTTGCGCCTCATGAAAAAAATTATGCTCTATTTGCGAGAAGAGCTCATGCACGTCGGGAGGCGACTGTACCCCGTTGCGCTGATAGAACCTCCCCATAGTCCAAGGTCGAATCAACTTCATGACCTTTGCTTCTGCACGAGCATCCTGAACGAGTAGTTGAATACCGCCAGCAGGAACCTGCTTCTACTTGCCAAACTTACAAGCCAATGGGGCTTCTCCTGCCCGTAGCCCTTCGGGCAGTGAAGTCGAAGTTTCTCGCAAACAACACAGGGTCCATCAGATAAGGGGGGTTTGCAGCGCTGAAGATGTGATAAGACTTTGAGTTACGGACATGAATATTGGCATAATAACCACCTTGCGGCGAAGCCTGCACAAGAGACAGCCCCTCCAGCCCCTCGTCACCCTGGTTTGCTTCACTTGAGTCATGGTTGAGAACTCGACTGAGGTAAAAATCCGGGGAGCTGAGAAAGAAGGGAAAGAAGGTTGAAAAGGGATTCTGAAAAGCTTAAGTAAAAACAAATTAGGAACACGGCCGCGCGGCAGATCAAGCTAACCATAATTCAAAGCAAAGAAGGGATGAAACCGACCTTATGGGAGATGTAGCCTTAATGCTTCTGGGCAATTATGTAAAGGCATGGCACTCTAAATGATTCCTCTAGGCACTTCGTTTGTGCACTAGCTCCGACCCTGCTGCCCCGATTATGGAGATACAACGCAGAGGATTTAAGGAATCTTTGGATCGGATGATAACGGGAGGCTGAGGTCAGTTGACTCATATTCAAACAATGGAAGTCATCCAGAATAGCTGTACCAAAGCTGTGTATATGCTATGCATATGCTGTGCGTGCGCGTTTCGCAACCATTTTTCCTAGTTGAATGGGGAGTATGTCAACAAGAAACTGACGTTGGTATGGCAGCGATGGTCTCTGAACTGGCCTCAGAAACGAGCAACGCAGATTTAGATGCTAGCGGAGCGTAGTGCGGCCGCTAGTATCGTCGAAGCCTTGGGCTGAACTTTCTGATCACGAAGATGACTCGTATCACGTTTTCTTGATTATTTTCCTTTCCCCGTATCTGAATTTGGCTTGTGATTCTTTCTAGGGGATGAGTGCTGTGACTCCTATCTTCAATCCAATGAATCACTTTGCCGGTGCTTGGGAACTTGCGCCTGATGGTCCGATGAAATCCCGAAATCCTGTCTTATGCCACTCGCAGCTACGTGCGGGGTCTATAAATTCGGGAAAACTGCCGTGTCTAGAGCCAAAGGCGGTTAGACACAAGAGTGGACCTCTCGAACAATTGTTAGCCCAAGCAAAAATCCGTGGCAGACCAGGATGCAATTTGCCCACAATTGACTACAGGGGTTGCGCTAGAAGGCGTAATGAAAAAACTCCCTTAAGTCAAAGGCGTGCCTATGATCATATTTGATTCCCCGGACACCCAACACTTGGTTGCAGTACCGAATGAGAATCAAACTTATCTCGCGGCTGCCAAAACACTTTTAGGGCATTCTCAATACAAAAAGCATGAAACGACGAGGGATCTGGCGCGAGACTACAACTCATCGCGGGGGGTCGGGAGCGTCCGAAAGTACATCTCAGTGCCTGTATATGTGGAGAACTTGAGAGGCATCGCAACCCATTTCCCGAAAAAATTGCAAGTTGATATATATTACCAAAAAAGGCAACCCATTCTATTCGCGCGGCTGGCGTTTGTGGCCACCGTGCTTATCGCACTCTATCACCTGAACGGCCCGGGCATCCAACTCACCCTCCCAAACCTGTAGTTTTGTGCAATGACGAATGGTCTACTATGACAGTCTTAGCCGGTTATCGCTCGCGGTCAAGTTAAGTAGATGCCTTCTTGAGCAATGCCGGGCCATCTCAGTTCTGTACATGGCCCCAAATTTGAAAGCATCCGTCTAGGAGTCATGGGACCCCCTGCTTCAGCTTCTACTCTTGGAATGACCCCCAACTCTCTTGTTCGGATCGCACAAAGTGAACGGCGATTGCGATTGCATGCGCAAATCTCCCATATACGTTTGCCCCATGGTTTTGTACACCTCCGTTGATGTGCAACCGTTACGTATTCATGAATTTCGATATCGGTTGTGGAACCAAGGCAATTCCCACTTCCACTTAGAATAGTCCATGTGGGCAGTTCCGGTGACCGGTTCGTCTGGGGAGGGGTGCCACGAGACACACCAGTGAACTGACTTACCTCCCCGCAATGGTTGTCTGGGCCGATAACGGTCCTTTGCACTTTTGTAGAATTCAACTATTCGCATAATGGTGCACTGTGCGACTTAGAGACCCGCCCCTGCATCAGGAAAGAGGAAACACCATCATTCAATTGGGCGCTTTCTTATGCAGTCGCCGACCGGAACTGTAAAGCTGGGATCTTCCTGGAGAACCAATTATTGGATTTTCCTATAGTGTAATGGCATGAGCATGAGCAGGGTCTGCCTTATTTACAGCATTATCAGGCCCACCGATGGAAAATCGACATCAGCACGATCCCCATGTCATGGCTTTGCGTTCTCCTGCCCGTAACCGAAGGAACTTAGCAACTGGCTGCAGTGGAATCACGATAAAGTGCATATTTCGTGGACTAGGCTCGGAGTTAGTCGAGACGTATGCACCTCACAATTCTCGCCCTCACTGGCTCAACTCGAGGTTTGCCTTTAACCTGAGGGGAGCATTTATAGACCTTAGTTGTTAGTCGAAGGAGTCCGCAGGAGCCTGTAGACGGCACTCCGCGGTATAGCTGTTGGAATCCGGGGGCGAGAATGTGATATCAATCACGAGGGTCAGGTACGCTGTGGATTTAAGGAAATTTCCCCACTTCATTTATCTCTTCAGCGCCGAGGAACACTCGCTGACCACTATCATTACTTTCAAAATTCCTCGGCGCCGTCTTGCAATGCATCGCGAGTCTTCGACGACCCAACATCTTTTTCGCACTGAAGGCGCCAGAAAGAGCTTTCTCTCAGAATATAAAATGTCATCGTAATGTAGCGCATCGTTACTCATTTTGAAGACGGTCCACGCTAGTTGCCGTGAGTCTGCCTACCCACTACATGCCTTCCCGTCAAGATCAAGTGAGTCGATCTTTTTGGAAAATGCTCTTATCAAACCACAATTTTTTACTATCATCATCGCGAGGTTTATAGGTTAAACAGCCGCGTTGCCACTGGTGCTGGACTGAATAATTGACTGCACCGTGGAATTGCCGTGGAATTAAGTAAGTACATAATCCCACTAAGTAGGACTCAGGAATATGATTGATCGAGTCCGCGCACTGCATAATGAATCAATTTCCAATATAGGCTCGAGCGTCATCAGGGGACATCATGACCCTGTTGCAAAATGATCTTACTTATGTAAGCCTCATTTCTTGTGGAACGGCAATCACGTCCAACCCAGGACCCATAGTCTTGTCAACGGCAGAAGCGTCGATCAGGGACAATAATGATTGGACCAACCGGTTCCACGGGATCCGGGAGTTGCCGGCGGCTGTCAACCAATTCAATTGTGTTAAATTTCAATTCAATCCAAGACCGGTTGTGGATGACTTTCCTGCTAACGAGAAAGCAAAATTCGCTACTGGAGTACAGGACATTGCTTCGCCATTGTATCCCAAATAAAAGCAGGATCGATACCTTTGCTTATTGCGCAGTTCATAACCAAGACTGCCATTTCTCCAGTGATGCCAGTACTTCATGTTAGGCCTCGACTCGGAGATTGGTGCGTTGGAATTGTTAGGACCGAATGACAGTCCCGGGATTTGGAACTCGGGCGGGCAATGGGTTTCACTTCTCACATTATAGTCATCTGTTACTGCTGGAGAAGCTTCCTCGCAGAAATCTTGACCACGAGAGGGTTGGAGGACTTACGGAAATAACAAATTGATGAGGGTGTTGAAATTCCAACATTCGGCCCGTCACCCGCAACGTGAAATTCCTTTGTGGTAAGCAGACAGTGGTCGACAAGAGAGAGTGGCATTGGTGCGCGAAGTAAGGTTGGGGCGTCCAGTACGTGCTTTTACCTATTTTCACATTTTCTCTCTGTTCGGACTCGGAGCAACACCCCACTAATGCGCGACACTCGTGCACAAAGAGGGCAGATCCCTCAGATCTCTCTGAGGTGAGAAGTGATTTGTCAATAACGATCATTCATGTATTAATTGGCGTAGAATCTACGCGCCATAGCTTTAATAGTTCAAGAGAGAGGGAAGAAGCCGCGTAAGTCATTATATTGGACCAATGAACGCTTTCAGATGAGTTGCTCTGCCGATTATGTCTTGATCAGTTCGTAGCCGTAAAGATGAAATACCACGACGACGTGAGTCCCCACCCCTCCCGGTGCCTTAGCGTTGCATCCAGATAACGTTATGATCCTCCGTTCAAGATTTCGAGGGGAAAGAAGGGTTAATAAGCGGTCCGGTGCAACCATGAATTTTCTAGATCCTTTCAGTGGCGCATCGGATCCCATGCCAGTAGCGATGCTGAACGCAGCGAAGGGCTGCCACGCACTATATAATTCTGCGGCTGAGGAAAGCTCTTTGTAGTCGCAACTTGGTATTCATTGCCGGCCATATCCGGCTTCACTGCAAGACTCCTCCTCTGTTAGGACCCAAGAATGCCTCTGCTTTTGAGTCTCGTCCCCTGGTAACCAGTAGTTCGAAATGGAAGGTCGCCTGATTTTTCCACTCATGTTACTACCGGATCTGTTCGAATTCATCTTCATCACCGCACCACAAGCCACAACCTCAACCTCCCTCTCTGTCGCCTCCTCCCCCTGTTCGCATGGTGGACTTGCGCTTCTGGACTGTTACACTTCCGTGGTGTTCACTGTGTGCTTCAAGCGTCACACATGGCCCAAAATCAGCAGGACTTAAAGTTGCTTAGGGCGCCACTGGGGTTGGTGCCAGGCCAAGGGGCAGTTGCTCGGCTTACCAGTCACTGCGTAGCTTGGACGATGTGGGGACTCGATCCATCGATCATTCAAATAAGACATCCACTCACTCGAGGGTCCCATTGGGCGCTTGTGAGAGACCACACCATGCTCACAAACTCCCTCACCAATCACACCTGAACCATCATACCTCGCCTGGCACCTTCCTTGACCTATTTCATCTCTTACGAACTTGCAATGCTGCACAAACAACGCGGCTAATTGTTAGCACGTTTTATGCCGACACAGCGACACCGACTTCATCAGTGACACACAAGTGATAACTGGATCAAGATGGGGAGAAACGTAGTGCTAGGTAGGAGGAGGTTTACAGAAGTCAGACAAGGGGTAAACAACAAGTCCTTTTTCCGGAACAAACATTATGAATGATGCGGTAGTGTCTAATGAGGACAAGGTCGTACACCACGCGGGACCAAACTTGACAAATGGCGATTAAAATCAGAAGGAAATGAGTCAGAACGTCCTGATGGGAATCACGGTGCATTGGGTGCATTGGTTCGAAGTCCAAAGGTGAGCGTGTTGCTGTGAGGGTATTACAAGAGTTGTGACTGAGTCCGATGCCCGGACATCTGGATGTCTTTGGCAGTAACCGCGGTTAGCTTCCGGGTACCGTGTGGGGATAGCCATTTGGAAATATAGATCCTTTTTGTATCGTATGCTGAAGCCATGGACAGAGAGGTGATCCTACATGATCAGGGCATCAAACAAGGGGGCTCGTCCACCGACAATATGCTGTACAGCCTCGCACCTTCCTCGTCGATGATATCGAAGAAGTCGTGGTTTAGGAATGATACTGACTTTGGTTGGGGAAGTATCGCATTTGCCGGCGGCTGAGGCTTCGGTTCGCCTGCGTTGAGGGTCCAGGGCCAGCTTGTCCTTCCCGGTAGGGTTCTGGGGCGTGGGCAACATGGTTGGGAGGATATGTGAGCCCAGAACCCGACGCGGGGGAACAAGGGTAAGAGGCGAAATAGGGCGAAATAGTCGACATACCGGGAGTGGGGCCCGGGACGCTTACTGGGGAAGGCGCGTGGCGGCGTCCTTGAAGGGGTGGCTGCAGGAGCATGAATTGCGGGGACGGCGTTCCTATTGCGAAGTTAGAACCGCTGTGCGACGTAGAAGTTAGTCCCATTGAATCAGATGATCTGATATTATCAGGAGGGAGTGCCGCTTCAAAGGGGTGTTGTTGAACATAGTGTTCAGCCGGCGGCTGGAGGAAGGGGGGCGAGTGATGGTGTCGGGCCAAGGACACAGGTCAGTCAACGATCGCAGGCCCATGAGCTAACATCTTACCATCAGAACGGCGCCCCCCATCCATGGCGAACCAAAGTGGAGTCGAGAAGAATCAGAGGCCCCTAGGACATCTAACGCGCCTAAATCAAGATGTAACATGCGAGTGGCTTCATTTTGTCCGTTGATTCTGTAATTATCGTCGACAGTAATGGGGGCACCGGTAGAGAATTGCGGTGACGGGAAGGCTGGCGCCAGTGAAATTGACCATGGAATGTGGTTAGTGCTGGGAGGAGAAACTGGTTGCTCTGGCGGTGCCATTTGTACACCTTCGAACTCCTGCTGCAGTCGCAAGAACAGGTCTTGCAGGTCGGGAGGCGATTGCTTTGTGGCACGCTGATACGATCGCCTCATCGTCCAGTCTCGAATGGTCGCCATGACCCTTTTTTTGGCACTTTCATCCTGAGAAAATAGCTGAGAACAGTAATGAATACCTGTTGCACTTTCTGCACTTACAAGCCAGACGGGCGTGCCGGGCCCATAGCACTGTGAACAGTGCAGTTGAAGTCGCCCACACTCACTACAAGGCCTGCCGGATTGGGGTTCGGGGCACCGCTGAACGTGTAACGAGGGTATGAGTCAAGACATGAGTATTGACACGAATTAGCCACCTTCCGCCGAATTTTGCACAATAGACAACCGTGCTTATCCGTCGTCACTCTGGTCCGATTGCTCCGACCCATGATTGTGCCAACTGGAATGGGATACGACTTATGTAGGGAAAGAGAAGGAGAATGGATCAAGAGTGAGTTGAGAGGCGGTGCGCCCAAATGGAATTATATGGGATTCAACACCCGCGCGGCGGGCCAAATACTCATCCAAGTAGATTACGATCTAGAGGAGGGTAACCCCCCCACGTCGGAGACGTGGCCTAAATGCTTCCAGACAACTGACCATGTAAAAGTATGGCAATCTGGATGGCTTGTTTGAGCGGTATCATTTGCACACTAAGTTTGTAACAACTACGGAAGCATTAGCTATCGAAACCATGAAGCCCTTTGGATAAGTGGATGAGTACGCCTAAGGTCACGTTCTATATTCTAGTCATTCACAGCCTTGCCTTACAGGATTTCATGATTATCCGCCCTAGCTTAGGGGGATGTAATAACAGGAGGGTGGCCTCGGCGACAAGCAGCGCCGCCAATATAAGCGTTAACAGGAGTGTGGTGGAGTCGCTTGTAACGTCGAAACGAGGGTGAATTTCCTGATTGCAAGAGTCACGCCAGAGTTCTTTATTCTTTTCATCTTTTCCGCCTCCGGATCTGGCTCTGGGGTCTTTTGGGGGGAAATGAGAGTAGCTCGTAGTTTCAGCCTAATGAATTGATTTGCTGCTGCTTGAGGACTTACGCCGTGTTCCCAATGAAATTCCGAGATTCCTGTCTCATGTTACTCTCAGTCAACTGACGAGAATTTGTGCCCGCGAAGGCCGGATTCAAGCCTGTTAGAGACTAGACTGGCTCTCGAACAAAATATCAGCCTGAGCAAAAAATATCTCGCAGAAAGATGTAATGGGAGCGGCGAATTCACGCGCGTCGCTCACAACTAGCTACAGTGGTTGCACTAGCAGGCGCAGGTAAAACTGCCCCAAAATGGCGGCGCGCCCATGATAGCCTTTGATTCCCCGGACTGATCCAACACTCAGTTGCAGTTCCGAATGAGAATCAAACTCATGTTGCAGCCCCACCAGACACAACGTGGAGCGTTCGCCATGGAATGAGAGAATAGTGGAAAAATGACTACGATATCGCACAGACAATCGCGGTGGGTAGTTGCGGGTGTCCGAAGGGAATTCTCAGTCTTAGTAACTGGTAGTGCTGGCACTGGTATATGTAAATCAAGCCATCACGGTGTTGTAATTTCCAAATTGGTCGATCATTTCCATACATGGAAATGGATGTCAAAAAAGCTGAAGCGACTGTGCGCGCGCTTGCACCTAACAACGTGCTCAACGCACTCTATCACCTTAACAGCCTTCAGGTTCTACCAAGAACATCTGTGAGCGGTGGGGACGTCGACGGTACGCACAGCGTATACCTGAGTATCGCATATCGCTCGCGGTCACGTCAAATGGCATTTTCATAAATGCTGAGCCATTTCAATTCTCTACTGAAGGAAAAAACAGTCACCCAAAGTTAAATTGGGGCACATACAGGGGCCCTTCTTCGGCCTTTGAATGATTCCCGGTTCTCTGCCTATTCGGATCGCACGAAGAGAACAGCGACATATGCTTAGTGCAAATCTTTCCCATATTTCACCCCAGGGCTTCGTATTCCCTTCGTTTTCGGATCAGGGAATAAGTTCTGGTCCACTTCCGAGTGTGCACCGGCTATGACACGTTTGGGGGTGTTTGGACAGTGGGTAGCCTTGACGCCAGCCACACCCCTTTTCGGCTCATGGAATATGTGCAGCGGGAAACATCCCATGAACCAGTGGCGTAAAGTAATTTCACAGGGGCGAACCATTACGTGTTAGTGGATTTTGATATCAGTTGTGGAAGCAAGGCATATTTCCACATACACCCAGAATAGTCAAGACCACGGAGCAGCCCCAGTGATCAGTTCGGTTAGGGATGGGGGTCGCCACGAGACCAAGAATCACATACCAGCAAACCCACTGGCCTGCACCAATGGCAACACTATCCCTTCGCACTTTTGCAGGAGTCAACTACCTGCGGAATGGTGCACTGTGCATCTTCAGCACCCACCACCGCGTCAGAGAAGAGAAAGCACCATCATCCGGTCGGTCGCTCTCAAATGCAGTCTCCGACTGAAACTAGAAAGCCTGGAAAAACAATCGCTGGGTCTTTCCGTAGTGCAACAAGACGACCTTCCCTCCAAATCTGCAAGCACTTGCTCATCAGCACTAGATGTCATGGTTTCGCGTTGAAAATGCCAAAGGAACCGAATGGCCACCGGGAATCACAGGAATAAACTTGTGCATATGTCATAGATCAGAAGTTGCTCGAGACGTTGGGCCTGATGGTACACCAAGCGCTTCACCATTAGTCCCCTTGTACCTTTATTTTCCCCGTGGCCGAACTCCAGATTCTGATCTAAATCTTCGAGTTACAGCCTCAAAACAAATCTGTCCCAAGTACTACTGTAGGATGCAACAAATATGGCTGCGTGTATCTGGTCCGAGGGGTGCATTTCTGGACTTTGGTTATTGGCCCAGTGGCGGGGACTTGGCTGTGCGCTGACGAGGGGTCCTGTAGCTAGGCGGTGCCTCCGCAGCATTTGGGAATTGGACTAGATCGTGATAATAATCGTGAGCTTAGGCATGTAGGTAAATTCGCCAACTCATTTATCTTTCACGCCGCCAGCGCGCGCTGAGGGATATTCGCTTACGCTGCAACCAAAAATTTAAAAGATAAAATATGAGAAAGCTTTGGTGAGAAGATGGCTCAAATGCCCGGACCGCGATCTGGACCACAAGGCCGAACGTATGGGAGGCTAAATAAATCCAAGTACAAAAGCCCCCCCCCCCCCCCCCCACGCTCGGCCAACAAGGACTCGTACGGTGGGCGTGGGGAAACTGCAGCTCATGCGTCAGAGGGTCAGCAATCAATATTGGAAGTTCAGGCGGGCAGCTTGGCCAATCATTACCCTTCAAGCTTGACGTTGACGTGAGCATGCCTTGGAGGTGAGTGTTCGCGGACGTTCAGAAAGCGCGGCTCCAAGCCTGGACAACCAAGTGCCACTTAACATGAGAGCTTCGTTGCAAGTGTTGATAGATGCCAACATCCGCGATGACATGATCCGGTGCTCCGGTGTCACATCGAAGAAGGTTGGGACTGATCCACGAGCCCCCTGGGCGCGTACAGTTCTACTAAATAGGATTCCCCCCTGATCACTCCTTTCTACGAATATATGGTTGGTCACAAATTTGTGCTGTTGGTATCTTTCGGGGAGGGTCATTGTCATGCAGCTGGCCTAATCGATCATAGTGGACTCAGGGGTCATCAATGAATCGAATATATCACTATTTGCATCCAACGGGAATGAGAACCCCATAGCGACGGTTGAAGTGCATGCACCCTGACATGGCAGCCAGGTAGGTGCATGCATCTCCCCTCGCGATCGATTATGCATGGTGGTTGCACACTGGCATGGATCCAGTCTTAGATTCGTTTTGCGATTAATGTTGACAGATGAGTGAATGTCGGCCTACTATTGCGTGCAGGTTTCCGCAATACCTTTAATGGCCGGAGTCACCACCTGCACTGAATTCTGCTGCTTCGATGTCTGACTAGCTCTGCGATGAAATACCGACCAGTTGGCGTTCTGGTTCGGAGCGACATGCAAGGCAGTGGGCGTGCACCAGTGTGCTGGCCTGCCATGCTATGATATCAATATTATTTGCCGTGTCCTTGTATGCCTTTCTTTTATAATTCATTCCTGTGGTGGTGGAATTAACAGGGACAATTCAGGCACGAAGCGTAATATTTGCACTTCGCTGCGGGTAGCGGCCGGGACTTAGCTAGATCACAGCATTCCTGGATGATGCAATCAAGGCATCGTGAATCTCAAGCAGTGTATATGGCTGGAGACCGTGGTTCTAAGCAATAGCTGATGAAGAGATTATTATCTTCGGCACCTATGCTTGCTTCACATGATAAACGAGATGGCGGTGATCACCGGCGCCGCCCCCGTAGCGCCCATAGCCTTGTGATGCGCGCGCATTGCTGCTTCAGCAGCCAGGTACACGCAGGCGCCCGGCGAGAAAGAGGCTTATTTCCGCGACAGCCCAGATATTAATCAAATGATTCTCACCTCCTATGTTGTGCCGCACTGGCTTCTAGCTACCAATCCTAAAAATACCTGACAGGTGTTAATTGCGACAGCGCACTCCTGTCTTTGATTGCTGCAACCGGACCGCCGGTCCATACCTCAAGACCCACCCGTGGGTGCGAATGAATCTTCTTTTCGTATCATGCCACTGCGCGCGCCTTGAAAGGCTGCAGGCAGGTTATCGATGGGGGAATGTCAGGAAAAGGATTTAGTCGTAATTTGTCATTTAGGTGGCTGCTTCCCACCTCCCGGAAGGGGAATATATAGACATCGAAGTTCTATGATGCTGAGTATTGATGCGGTGCACCACGGCGACACCTGTTCATGAGCTTTTTGCTGGCTTTCCGTACAAGATCCACAATTCAAGGTGGGACTCTTTCCAGGAGATTCTAGAAGTAATAGAAGCGGTAAGCGGATATCCTTCAATGCTGGCGGTATGAGTTGGCGAACTTACCTAAAGTCTACAACTCCACAATTGCTTTCGCGATCTACTTTCCACAGTACCAATACCGTAAATGCACCGCCTGCACACACCTTCCAACCCTTTCACGGCGCGGGGCTGACATCAAGGTCCCTGGATGCTCTCAGATCAGATATGCGCAACCGAAATCCGTTCCATCAGTATTACTGGTCTGCGCCAAGGTGATTATGCTTGGAGGATGTAGCTCGCATGGCGATTTGTTCGGGGATTGAAACTCGATTTGAGCCACAGGAAGGGAGCCGTGAGGGTTATCGTGAAGCGGTTGGTTCATCGTCAGCTCCAGCGTCTTGAGCTATTCCTGATCTACGAAATACGTACATTGTCATGATTTACCGGTGGCCAGTCGTCGAGTTCCTTTGCATAGTTCCAAGTAAAAAAAACTATGATGGGGGTCGTGTTGCTGACGCTCTTCCGGTTGATAAGCTTAGTGAATGCGGGCTTTCAGTCCTGATTAACAGGAGCTTCTAAGATGGGGGTCGTCCTGTCGCGCTGTGGAAAGGACTGACGTTCCTTTCCCTGGTGATGCGCCCGGCTTCCTAGTTCCTGCCGGAGACTACATAAGAAAGCGATCGACTGGTGGAGCCCCAAGCGCAGGGGTGGGCTCCCAAATGGCAGCGCTGTGAATGTGACTTACTCCCACGAACGTGGGAAGCGATGGGTATTGCCGCCTGTTAGCCAATTGGAGGTTGGTAATGTGAGCTTCCTCCCAGCCGAGCCGCTCATCTCCGTAGCCCCTCTATACTAATCCAGGTGAGGGTGGAAATGTGCTGTATTTCTAATCCATATTCAAGTTCACGTACACGTAACGTCACTACATTTCGCCTCCGAGTACTTATCCTTCAGGAACATTAATGATTCGTAGGGGTGCTTCTCGCTGCCCATGTCCCACGGGCCAAGAATGGCACAAAAAGAAGGGAATTTCGGCTGGTATCCGAACGACGAACTACTAGCTTTGTTAGGCCTTCCAAATTTTGATATCACGGATGAAGGGAAATACGAATTCGAACCCTGTGGCAATTATATGACACTATAGATAGAATGAAATCTCTGCTCTCTTTTCGCGACCCGAATGAGCAGAGAGCCGGGAACCACACACAGCCCAAAAGATCGAAGAGATGAGCCCCCTGTGACTGCTAGGTGGCAGGGGTCACCCGAATTTGGGTAGCTGTGCGATGGGCTATTTCCTCCGATCAGGAAATTGAAATGGCTTAGCATTTCCGAATTGCGCGGAATCGCGAGCGATACTCGGTTAACTTGAAGACCGTTGTGGGCGACGGATACCCATGGGCGTCGTTCAACGCTCTTACCACTGGAAATGATATGTACGTGACGTCTGGGGAACTTGAAGACCCTCAAGGTGATAGGTGCAGTAAGCACGTAGCCCGAGCAACCGCTTTGAGATTGACACTTTTCCATAATAGATCGACCAATTTAAAATTACTTCATCACAACCGTTCACATATACTAGCACTGACAGTGAAATTTTTTTCACAGCTCCCCACCAACTTCGTTCGTTATTCTGTCGAATGTTCCTCCTCCTTTTTTTCGCTATGATGTCTTTTTCCTTGCGGAAAACGCTCCACATGTGTTTCGGTGGCCGCTTCATGAGTTTGACTCTCGTTCGGGGCTGCAGCTGGGTGTTGCTCAGTCTGGGGTGTCAAAGATTATCATGAAGGGGCCGCCACCTTGGGAGCGGTTTTCTAACGCGCTTGCTGATGCAAGCCTTGCAGACAAATTGTGAGCAATAGGCATGAATTCATCGCTGTTGTTTTGACCTGTCTGCGAGGTATTTTTGTTTGGGCTGACGTTTTGTTCAAGAGCCCACTCTAGTTCCCAAAAGATTTGGCTCTAAGTGGAGCAATTTCCCCCACGAGCCTGGACCGCCAGACTCTTCACCTAACTGTATAAGGCAGGAATTTTGATATTCCATTGGGAATACCGTATGAGTGCTCAAGCACCAGCAGAACGATTCAAGTTGAATCCAGAAGTCACAAGCCTTTTTTATCCGCAGAAAGGCTTCCTGACAGACCTAGACGGAGCCTGAGTGATCCTCGCAACCAGGAACCTCATCCTCCCCTCGATATTACACACGGTTCTACTGGACGCCTCTTAAAACTCAGCTCGGCGGCGCTGCTTGACTCCAAGGTCAGTTTCTTTGTGGCAGTCTTTCACCGACATTGACCCCCCCTTTACTTAATTGCAGGAGTGTTTCACGGAAGGCACCGCCCGGCTGTGCCCAGTGACCTGATTCGTCGTCCGAGCTTGAACGTGACCTGAATATTCATCTTATGCACCCAGTAATTGAGGGCCAATGTCAAACCACCGGCACGCACAGCACCTATCATGCATATAGCCTGAGTGGTGCCATGTCTTACATAGTAAATTGGTCCAAAGCATTGGGATTGCGTCTCATCTGTGGATTCTTTTCCCTCCCCTTGGTATAATTAACTGGCTATAATGTATCGAACTTATTGCCGCGCGGGCTAGGCCCATATTTGTCCCTTTAGACGCACTCGCATCAAAACCAGCTGTTCGATTTTTTGCCCCCTCCCCGCATCGTCCCAAAACACGACCCTCGACCACCATGATCCAAGGTAGAAAGCGGACGAGAAGCAAGAGCGCCTGCCCACTTTGCCAAATCCGACGAAAAGTGCCACTTACTTTTTCCCTACACTCTCATTTTGTGGCTCACTTCTCTCCCTTTTCAGGGTTGTGTGCGAGCCGCAAGTGGTGGTCCCTGCAGCGAATGCTCAAAATTCAGGCTGTACTGTCCTGGGGACAGGCCACCCTGGCTTACCGTGAGTGGGGTAACAATCCTCGTCGGCCGTTCCTCAGCCATTAGTTCACTGGCAGCGGAATCATATCCAGGATATTAAGGACTTCACCAGCCCCTGGACTATGGGAAGGAAGTACCTGGATAAGACTGCATCGCCGCCCAACGTACAGCTGCTGCTATCACAAATGGAACAAAAACATCTGCTCGAACTGGCACAACGGGGAGAACAACAAGTAATGCCCCACCCCAACGACGTCCATGTTCCACAGACAGCTATACCGACGCCGCCTATGCAATTTCGTCATTCTGATGTCCAGATTCCTGGTGATGATGATCGTGGGCCTGGTAATCGACGCCCGAGGGGCGGTAACGCTCAGTTTGCTTTAGGGACACCGGATGCCACGAGCGTCCCCGTTCCTCTCGTGTGCCCTTTGGTTGGGGTATGGATGCGGCCCCGCCATTTGAAGATGAATTCTTTACCTCTGGTGAGGTCTAACTGCCAGCGCGGGGTTCACCGTTCTTGACTGACTAGACAACCCCTACATGTATAGCACGGCCCTACCAACCGTTTTGGCAACCACCGGCTCCAGAAGCCCATGAACGACAACACGACCCTGAAGATCTCACTTCTGGAGGTGTGGAGCCATCGAACCCGTTCCCTCCTCATCTAGCTAGATCATACGGTGATCCCCAAATGGTTCCTGGATTAACGATGACATCCCCTAGCGCTCTCCCCTTACCTGCTACGCCTGCTCCCGGAAGCCACCAGCGCCATCATATACGCTACGCTGCTACTCGGACAGAGTTTCAAGGCCCCCCACCACAAATGGAATCCCAGACCTCAGGGCTTTCAACCCACCTCCCGCGACGCAGCTGACCTGGCAATCCCCCTCTACGACCGCTCCTTTCCCTACTTGTCCTTTTTCTCCTGGCTCCACGCACACGCACCACTGGCACCAGTACCATTCTGTCCAGCCCCCGAGCCAAACAGCAACGTACAAGGAGGGTGAAGCTGGCCCTGGTCCTTCAACCCAAGCTAACCCCCGTCATCGGCGCCATGAACAGTATCGTTATCTATGAACGTTACTACACTTTCATCATTGTCGAGGACATCCCTGATCTACTGTTTCGGTGGCTTCATCTCTATTTTACATTCGTTTGGCCGGTAGTCCCACTTTTTTCCGTACTCCAGTAAAGCTAACCGTAGTATACCGTCACTCAATCCTCGTTAGTTCTGGGTGCCCTGCATATCGAGCGTGACTCCGGCCCATGTAACTTCCCTTATTATGATTCCTGCTTCGGTTTTTGACTTAGGACTCCCAACGCGCCGCGATCCCTAACAGCCACTGCACTATTTTGACGAACACTTCCCGATAGTGCGACTTGGTACGCTGTTGCGGCACTATCCATGATGATCTTTCATGGAAAAACTGTTCGGGGTTATGTTGTACACATTCTGTTCCACTACTTTCACTTATGTTATCCTTTCTTCATGTCCTCGGGCGCAATGAAACATCGGTATTCTTCAGCCTTTCAGCGGTAAAAACATTATGTAAAGTTTATAGGGGCTTCGAACGCCAGTAGAGGTCGTCACATACCAGAGGTGGTGAGGGAACGACCTACTAGGGGTGTGTCTGGTGTGGCCTGAGGACAGGGTGTAACCGTGCAATGATGCCGCATCGGCCTGGGATGGATGGGTTTGAACGATCGACGATCAAGACTCGACATTGCTCAGATACGCGGCGATTACTGACTGCGTGGTCGTCTGGCTCTGGTCCGTCCATACTGTTTCTAGGAGAGATGTAAAGTTGCATTCATGCAGAAAACGCGGACGCCAAAGTGGGGTGCCTCTAACGGTGACGATTCGTTACGTGAACAAGGGAAAGGGGGGTGGCTAAGAGCATGGAGCGGTGTTTGTACCAGCGCTGCCTGCATTGACGGCGCAGGAGGTTCGCGCAACATTATGAAAGCATCAGACCACCCTATCTCGGTGGCATGGGTGTGAGTTGGATTGGAAGAGGTATGCCCACCAGCAGAGGGTCATTTGAGGCAGGTGACTTTCCCCTTCGACGGAACCACTGACCTGCTGAGGAACGGGGAAAGCCGTGGTGCCCCTGGCCCGAACAGAGTAAAAGTCCCATAGAAGGTGAGGTGGATACGGTAATGATTGTGTGCTACCGATCACTGCAAGGGGCATTCCATGAGATAGCTTCAATGGCACAGCGCCCCCCGAAATGCTTCACTGCTTTTGGCATCCTTCAAGTTGCTTGGGATGTGCCACTTGAAAAAATCTAAGAAATGAAGGGAAGCTTCCCCGAGGTTGCACTGGAACGCTTATTTTCCTCCTCCCTTTACCCCTCTAAAATTCTAAAGCAAAAGTCGAGGCATCCGGATATAAAGCGAAGGTGAGCGTGGGAGGATGTAATGAATTGGAAGATGCTCCGGAAATTGTCGCCGTTTCTAGAATCCTATTTTCATGACTGCGTACTAGTCATAAGTAGTCCCAAACGATTATGGACCCTTTTGTCTGACGACCCTCCACTGGTGAATTTTAAGTTAAGTTTAAGTTTATCTGGAATACAGTCCTATAATCATTATTGCCTCGATCGATCTCCGCTTGTACTAATTCCGTGGTCTCGTGGCGGATGCCGCCCCAATGCATAATCCCGACGCCGCTTCCCGGGAAACTGGGCTCGGAATCCCAGGTGTGTCGTTTTGTGACGTATTTATTAAAATCCCGATGTCTCTTGGCACATAGCAGTTCATCAGTATGTATGTATCAGATTTTCTTTTCCGTGGGAAGTGGCCGAAGTGCTTTTAGTGCCAAAGGCGCCGCAAGCTCAGCTTGGCAAATTCCCAAAAAAAAAAAATTATTATTATTCACATCCGAAAACTTCAAAATCGCGCGAGGGAAGTCGATGTTATGATAGGGCGCTTCCGTGGTGAGGTAGGCCGGGCTGGTGCCGCTTAACAATTTTTAGTCTAATCACATCTGCCCACGTTCAAAAACTGCAACTTCAAGCCCGGACTAGAATACATGACCTATCATTTATTGATAATGTCATTGTCGTATCGATTCGGATAAAGGTATGTGCTCTGGTGTACATGTTGGACCGGCGCTGATATCTTTTCGTCCCACGAGCCGCCGCTGCAACACATGTCCAAACAGAACTTTCTCCTGATTTGCTCAACATCATTCGTTCCTTCCTGCAATTGGTTGGTCACGAGTTTGTGCTATTGGTAGGGGTTGCCAGTGATATATGCGCACAATTCGCGGGGTTGTTGGTAATCAACTTACTATTTGAATCCTTATCATAATGCGCGCACGCGCGCCTAGAATCGTATCGCCCGAATCGCCCAATAGTACAGCAGCGGGTAATGGTATTCATGCACGCCAAACACGCGGACCCGCCACAGCCCTTGTTCCTTGAGCCACCCGATTATGTCATCCATCATATTGTCTACCGTTTGCCACGTCCCATCGCATTGTCTCGCCCGTGCGTGAGACATGTGTTTTGACCCTTAGCCCAGAAAGAAAACTGTATCGACGCGAAACAATATCGATGCATACATTGCTATAAGTACAACTCAGTAAAAATTTGGAAGAGGAACGCTCTCAGAAGAGTTTCCCCGCTTAGCAGATACCAAGGTCTACGTGCGAGGAATGTACCATCCCTAATGAAGCAACCCGATTTGACATTACTGTGATAACTCACCCCAGCACATTTGTCGCAGAAGTAGGATCGCTGACGTAATCTGTTCCGTCGTAGGCTGACGCGGAGATCCAAGGATGGAGAGGGATTGGAGGATGTGGTGGCGGAGGGCGGGATCTTCAACCAGAGTCTAACGAGCAATGGGAAATGAGCCCTGCCAGCTGCTGGAAGGGGTCGTCAGCGGGCGAAAGAAGTCTTGATTATGTGCGAGCGGGACGCCAGCTGGTTGCGGGCTGTAAAGAAGGGCGTCTCCCGGAGCCCGCCCCACAGGGAGGAATGAGAGCGGTGGGTTGCTAACAGATGTGACCTGGTGGTGATGCCCACTAGAGCCTTCGTTGATACGGGGAACATCTGGGATGGAAGAGGCTTCGAAGTTGGAGTACGATGCGATAGAGCCAGGATTTGGTCCGAGGACTGAATGAGTGACTGAGCAGGTCGCGATTGGGCTGTCTGGTTGCCCAAAGAACTGGACAACGCCAGGCGTAAACGCCGTACGTGAGTCGTTCTCAGAGGGACCAGGTGGAAGGGCGGACCGCAGCGGTTGCAGGGACGAGACAGACTCAGGGTCTAAGAAGGACGTATGCGAGGCGCCTGGCACAAGAGCAGAAAGAGCGCCGATCCCCACGAGTTGGCGGGCTCAATGATGTGTGGAAACTCGAATCCAGAATGAAGACTCACCCGTACCGGCTACCATGCCGCTGGTTCGGGTACGCGCAGGTGGCGGGTCAATCTGGTTCATCAGCGCTGTCCTGACCCAAGTGATGAACGCTTGGTTCTAGTGTCAGGCCAAAAGGATCAGTACACCAACGAAATCGAACATGCACACAGCGGCTTGCCTTCGTCCATCCTGGCACTCTCTTGCCGTATCCTTGACATTTCCAGCCTTGCACGAGACAATTGCTACACGACCCTCCATCCTGCGCGGCCATTGGGCACACTGCGCGGGATATGCTAAGTTCAAGAAACTGAGAAGTGGTGCAGAAGTCTCACGTCTTCTGTTTATCCTGCACGGAAAGCATCCGCCGGTGGGGGTGCGTCGTTTGGGAGGCATTTGAGGCACTCAGTGCGAACTAGGAAGTAACAGTGGGAAGTGTAGGCAGTCTATGGATATCGAAATCGCTGTTGTATTGAGTATCAGAAAAGGTATATGAATTGCCTTCATAACTGAATGCTGTTCCCATGTGAAGCAATACGTCCCAAAGAGGAGACTCGTAAATGGTGCGCGTAAAAATGATAGACATCTTGGCCAGTCCAAGGGCCCATGGCTGTCATAGGATGTCGCAATGGAGTCAATTGCGCAGAACTTGACAGGACTCGGAGTTTCACAATCTCTCGCTCCAAAGCGTGACTTGGAGCTCGTGACCGTTTTGAGTCATTGGAGAAAACAACAACGCGCGCCAGAGCGAGACCGCGTGTTGTGTCTAGTGACTGCCACGGCGCAATTACACCCGGATTCGGTAGGTTTCCATTATACTCTCGGGGGTTACTAACGAGTAGTAGAGGTTGACGGTAGACTATGGGCGGTCTTTGAGGAGCATTCCTCGCTGATATCATGCACCTCCGGTCACCCAACGGTGTCGTTGTGCACTCGACGAAATCATCCCCACTCAGTGTTCCGATACACTAAGCCAAGTCGCTGGTCATGATCGCTCTCAGTTTAGCGCCAACAGTTTATGTCAGACAATAGGTCAAAGTGGCGAAGTCAAAGGCAACCACCAAGTCATGTGGAGGTGTGGAGAGGTGTATACCCCATCCATTTCTACGTCCAGGGTGAGGTGCCTCGGGCTCTGAGTTCTGAGGTTGCTGGTGGGAAGTGATAGGAGGCAGGAGAACGCATAAGGTAAGAGATGGAACTCAGGAAGGGGACATGCCCCTCAGTTTACGCGGAGGGAAAACGAGCCCCATAGCGAGGGTTGAAGTGCATATCGGCCTACCTTGACTAGCGAGGGTTGGTTGAGATAAAGGACGGGGAAAGGGCCCGAAGGAAGATTTCGTGTGAGGCAAGGACTAGAGGAGGGGGGTTGGTACTGATAAGCGGCGGCATGTTGGATAAGTTGTGCAAAGTGGACACTTGCTTCCGAGCACTTCTCTCTCTCAATGAATACCCACGCGGTCAGTGAAAGTTTAGGAAATAATTGGCCTTGAATTTCTCAAAGCAAAGCCACCCGGTCTGGTGGACTGGGTGTCCGCATTTCTCATGATTATGGTGGTTGCCCTGGCACACTGGTGCGGATCCAGGCTTAGATCCATCTTACAATTGCCCTCATTGCGTCTATCTGCGAGATATTGTTGTTTCGACTGATAATCTGTTCAAAAACCCACTCTGATCTCCAACAGACCCGACTCTTGAGCAACTACCTCCATGAGCCAAAATCGTCGAACTGTTCACTTGATACAGGACAGGAATTTCGATATTCCATTGAAAACGCAGCGCAAGTGCCAGCACGTCAATCCATTAAGTCCAAGCTAAAGGTCAGTTTCTTCATGGCGGTTTTTCGCCACCATTGACCCCCTAACATGACTGCAAGAACACGGACGTTTGGCTGTGCCCTTTGACTACTTGAGGATTTGAATCAACGTGATCACCCGGCTGCAGAAAGTGTCATTCATTTTCCCCAACACTCTTCGCCGCCTCATCCCCAAGCACTGCTAGCGGCCATCATATGATGAAACCTGCATTGCATGTTCAAGATTCAAGCTTCTCTGTCTAGGATGAGCCAATTCCAGCGTTTCGTAAGTAGGGAAGGTTTAGATTCTGATCAACAGTTTCACTTCAGAAGAATCACGCCAATGAAGTTATGGATCTCATCAGGACCTGGGATGGTACTGAGTTGCCACCCGGAATATATGTTGTGAATTGAGGAAGCCTACTGCTAGCACCCCTGCGACTCGATCACAATGGAGAGAACAACGTTTCTTACACTAGCACGCGGTTTGTTTTGGCCACACCAGATGTCACGGGAGTCCCTCGTTCCTCTCGAATGCCTTTTGGTTGCAGTGGGCATGGGGGCCCTGCCATTCGAATGTGAACCCTCGCCTATGGGACAGTCCCTACATATGCAGAACGACCGTACCAACCTTTGGTGGCATCGGAATCCCATAGCGGACAGCATGGCCCTGAAGAAGTTTCCCCGGAGGGGTAAGCCATCGAACCCCTCTTCTCGATACAATCACCCCTGAGTCAAGGATGACTTCCTCCCCCGCACCGTACCTACGCCGTCATATAGGCAATGCACCTACTCTGACGGAGCTTCGAGGTGAGTCAAAGCATGGGCGGTGCGGTGACAAGCGTGGCATCCGTAGACCGCGACACTGTTTCCTGTTCTTGAGGTCCTGGTCCGGCATCGCCCTCGTATGTCACTGTGCGGCTCGGAGGCTGGATAGAGGGTTGCTTATGGTGTATGTGCGCGGAGCCGAATGGAGAGGGAGGAGAGGAGGAATGGGTCGCTGTGGGTGGGATGAACTGCGTCGCGAGTTGTGGAATACAGCCGGGAGGCCAGGCCATTTTCGGTTGCAGCCGAGGAAGGTGTACGCAATCGCTTGGCTCGCATTCCATTTCTTCCCATATATTTCGTCAAGAGTTTGCTTATCAACAAACCCTGATCTTTGATTCCAGCACGTCGAATGTGATTACGACTTCTATGTAACTTATCCCAGTTCGCAGACCCGGAACTATTTAACGCGTGACGCGTGACGGGTTGTTGGTTCAGTTGGGGGATCCGTTCCACCTATTGGAAGACAACGCTTCTCGTGTTGCAACCCTCGACTTCATTCCTTCGTTGATATCATCGGAGTGACGTTCTCCGCAAGACTCTCACTCATGGCCTAATGGTACGAATCTTATGTTTCATTTGGGCCGGATCTTTTGTGAGCGTGACGCGTGACAGGTAGTTATTCGCAAAGGGTGATCAACATTGGGGGTCGGCAACCAACGTTGTAACATTGTGACACTTACATAAGCAAAACTGGCCCCGATCGTGGCCAGACGGTCCTCCTCTTCCAAACCCCTCGTCTCTAGGTTGGAAACCACGTTAAAACTTTGGAAGTAAGGAGATTGTAAGGATAGATGATTAAACCCATGCAAATATGAGTAGATTAATGGGGATTCTAGTGATTGAACTATGGACGTGCCAAACATGATCGCGTCGCATCACTCTCCATCCTTCCAGGTGCTGGGGCTGTTGCAGTGTTGGAAGCCAAGACATAATGATGTTCTGGTATGCATTTTACGTTGCGATATCGTTTTAGGTCCCCTTTCTGCATCTTGTCCCACTCCGAGTTTTGTCACCCCACTACGCTGTCCCGTTCCATGTGCAGCAGTTTCCCCACCCTATTTGCTTATCCCATTTGTCCAATATCTGTTCTTGTTCATTAGCCACTTAAAACCGTGCGGGCCATTGCAACATCGAGCTATCATCGTCATTCTTTCCCCCCGTCCCCCATATTGAGTCAACTACTGAGTGCTACACAGGATAATACTTGCTGGCTATCCGTGTGAGTACCTCTTTCTGTTCTTCATTATTCATACTGCTAAAGACCCCAACCCTTGGGATGTCCTTGTCATTGGGATGAAGGTATCGGTGCGCGTCAAGTTGTTGTGCAAGCGAGGAATTGTCCCCCCCAAAGTATTGGAATGGGAAATAGACTCTATTTGTGTAGGCGCTGGGACAGGGACATTCGAATTGGTATGCCAAGATGGTGATAGCAGCTCAGCAGTCGGAGTGATGGATCCAAGAATTTCGCGTGTTTGAACTGAGACTCTAGTCTGCACATTTTTGCTCAATCTATGAGCACTTTCGTCTGTTGATTCCCCTGACTGGTTCCCAGCCAGTCTAGCTCCATGAGCCTGCATGCTAACACGCGGCAACATCAATGGTGGCTGGACAGCGGAAGTCCCAGTCATTGGTCCAAAGGTTCTGCGGCTCCGAGTGGATAGTCCTGGGCATACATTCTCGTTTACTATGTGACCTCCCCCCTCTGTCTGTCGTTTATCCAAACCAGTCCTCCAAGCTTTATTAATCTGTCGGGTTTGGGGAGAAGAAATTGTTTTTTTGGAATACTTCCAAGCAGCTCTATCCCTTGGCATTTAGTAAGGGGGTATGGGGGGGGGGGGGGGGGGGGGGTTGAGTTTCAAGTCCAAAGTCAGTCTAGCCAGAAAGAGAAGATGCCAGAGTCAAGTTGGGCAAGCGCGCGTCGGTAAACCCTGACACGTGATCCCTATTTGCGCCTGTCCGGACATTCTGGGAAAGGTGAGTTCCAAATGTACCTTCAATCCCTTCCTTTTCCCTCAAATTTTGGCATAGTGGTAGATGTGTTATTTACCTAACTTTTGGCCACTCAGATTTTTCAAATTCTACTTGGTTCAAAAGTTATTCCTTGTCCATGAGGCTGTATTTTGTTGCATCCCCACATAAATTAGTGATTACTGCAAGTGGAGGCCCAAAACTTCCAAGAAGTATTATAATAACATTGGACTATTTTTCGGTTTAGTCTTTATATGAGTACCGACATATGTTGCACTGGGTTAGGGCCCGCATCCATCTCAGCTTCAGAGCAGTGGAATGTACCTTTCCACTTCTTCAATTGACTTCAAACTTGGCACAATTACTCTATGGGTGTGAACGCAGATTTTGGCCACTAGGATTTCTGAGAATCTCCCAGATGCATGAGAAAGGCTCGTACATTTCTGATGTCCCATAGTTATGTATAAACCTGTTTTAAAATGGGTTCCCATACCATATATGCATTTTAATGTTATTATCATGCAATAATTATACCAACACTTAATAGAAGTTGTGAAGTCAAATGAAATGGTTTTCGGGTGAAGCGCAGTGGCCATATTTTAGCATCATGTGAGATTTATGTTTTCTCGGACGTCTTCCCTCATTTGCCGACCCCCATCAACATGGAAATTACTCTGCACACAGAGTCACTAACCACTCCCAATATTATGCAATTGGCGACGCTGAAAATTTGTCATCATCTTCCTTTTCGGGTTGTTTACATGCTTTCTTTTACGTCATCTCGCCTGTCCCTTCTCTCTTTTATTTTCCGCTCCCCATTTGTCCTCCTGTTCCAGAACTTCACTTCAACTTTAAACCCAACTATGCGAAATACACAGTCCAACAGAAACAGTCTCCCCTGAAGTTGGCTTACTCCACAACGTTCAACAATTACCAAGGACTCACTTTTGATTGAATAGTGATTGATTGTAGAGGATGTCTTTGCACATGGGCAGCTGTACACTGCGCTAAGCTGTGTGCGACATAGGTCTCATGCGATGCTGTTCTTGCCCGAGTCAAAGCTGGACATTGCGAATGTAGTATACAGAAGACTTTTGGGTTAACGTTAACCTGGCTTGCTACGTTACTTAAATAAATGGATGGCAATTGTTGTATGTACTTTGTTTTAATGAATGTAAACTTCTGTACAGGTTAGCCCAAGACAAATGTAGCGAGGCTTTGCTGCCAGTCATTGGCAGCAGTCCTCTCATGCCGAGAGGTTTCTGATGGTCTATCTGACCATCTATCTATAATTTTATTGGCTCCTTAGCCCAAGGAGCCGCTGCTGTTTCTGGAAGCACCCTGCACTTCCTTCCTTCCTTCCTTTTCTGGGTTTTCCCTATGGAAAGCCAATCTGCTTTCCTCTCAGTCCGCGAGGCTGGAGATGGTCTAGGTGACCATCTCTCCACTGGTTTTGCACCGGTATTATAACTCTTTGAGCTCAGGAAGCGCCCTGCACTTCGTTGCATCCAGGGTTTTTTCAGATTTCAAGTCCTTACTCTTTTTTCCACTCATTCCGAGAGGTTTCAGATGGTCTATGCGACCATCTCTCCACTGGTTTTACGCCGGTATTAAGACTCTTTGAGCTCAGCTGAGAGCTGAGCTCTGGAAACGCCTGTGCTTCACCATATCCTGGGTGCATCGAGGATATGGCCCTTACTTCTTTCCCTTTCATTCCAGAAGGCTAGATACAGTCCCAGTGACCGTATTCCTACTCGTTTTCACTGGTGTTCTTAGCTTATGCTGAGAGCTGACTCTCAGAAGCGCCCTGCGCTTCCTCCTGTTTATGGGCCTCTTGACTCTGAGGCTCAACCGGTTCCTCTTATTCTGCGAGGTTATAGGTGGTCTATGTGGCCGCATCTTTACCAAGTTTATTATGGCTCAGCTTTCCATGGTATCATTTCAGTTTGATCAGTACCATCGTATCTGAAGGCTGCCATGTATGGCCTTCACTCGCTGCTGTGGCATCCGTTTTTTTTTTTTTAGATTTTCTTGAATGTCTTTCCCTGTATTGTGTTGTTGCGAGAAAGATGATCGAATTCCATTGATGGTTGCAATATAACAACATAGTTATTTGATGAGAACGGAATAAGTGGGCAGTGCAGAGTCCTGCGAAGCACGAAGTGCAAGCACTCTAGTTCTATACCCGATGTACCATTTCAGGTTTTAGTGGGTTTGAGCGGAGACATACATACTAAGTAATTCAATCGGCAATTGCCGTACCCCGGCCATTGCCGCATTCCATATTGGGCATCCACCTAGAAGCCGAATTCACTGCCAACTAGAAAGATGGAGGTATGTGGATCAATTAAACATTGTTCCCAATGACGGCATGTTGTTTTAGGCTCATGAGGGGAGTGCAGAGAATCATTCTCAAGTGTGTCCGGAGTGTGGTATGGACGTACTTCTGGGGACTGGTGGTCAAAAAATCTGCTGCATCATATTGGCAAGGCAAGATGCCGTGAATCCCAAGAAAAGCGGGAGAATAAAGTAAAAGCTCAACCACAAGCTGAGTTAATGGCTTCATTTTTCAAAAAAAAAAAAGGAGTCCATACACCACCCAACTGTGGTCCCCCCTGCTTTACTCCAAAGTCTAGTGTCAGGGACCGACCCGGGGTCGAGAGCACCCGGGTGTATCGCCCGAGGCTGAGGGTCCGGTAGGTATGACGCGGGCGCGCGTAGCAGCGGGCCCGAAGCAGACAAGGGTCCCTGGCCACTAAGACTAAAGTGGGAAATGTGTTATTGTCATTATCAAGGGAAGTGTAAGCTACTTGCCTAAAGTGGGAAATGTGAGAAGAAGGTTGCTTCTCAGTTCCCACTTAGGCTGTGTTTATATACATGTGGTTGAAGGCCACATGGGAAGCGCCACGTCATCCGAGCGCACAGCCACCTCCATCTGGGTACCTCCGTAAGAGGTCCTAGGAGCGTCCGGTGTGCGGGGGGTCGTCCAGTGTGTCCGGGTTCGGGCACGTTACACTGCAGCCAGGTCAATGGTACATTGATACAAAGGAAGTCGTCCGTGTGATAAGAAAGGAATAAAGAGGAGAGAGAATAGAAAAGAAGGAGAGGAAGGAAGGGAAGGGAGAAAAGGGGAAGAGGGGGGAGGTCGGGAGGAGTGGATGGTGGGGCACCGGGTTAGGTGGGGCCGGGTCAGGCGGGCGTGCCCTGACATCACCCCCTCCTTAAGCCGCTTCGCCTCGAAGCGGCCAGGTGGTTCTCCCTCTCTCTCCCGGGGGCTTGGGGGTGCGTTCTGTGGAATTCCTCGATTCGGTCGGGGGTGTGGGTTAAGTGGTCCCGCTGGAGCCACTGGTTCTCCGAGTTTGGCCAGCCCGTGAATTTTACCAGGTACCAGAGTTTCCGGCGTAGCCATTTGGAGTCTAATACCTTTTCAACTTCGTACTCCTCTTCTCCATCTATGAGTTCCGGGCCCGGGCGGGGGTCGAGGGGTCGTTCTGCGATTTCATCCGGGTGGTGGGGCCTGATGTTCGTTACAGATACAACCGGGTGGATCCCTT